AGCCAAAGCCAACGGATTTGCAATTGAACGGTCATTCCACAGGCCAAGAAAACGCAAAGCACGGAAGTCCCAGCGACCATCCTCAAACAGCCAAAAAGACGGCGAAAACTTCTCACCGACCATCTCACTCGATAAGTTCGCAAAACGCGAAGAGGAGCCCTTCGTACGGAAACGGTCGATCCCAACCCAACGGACACCCCCCAAGCCCTGCTACAACGCCTCCAGACCTTCCGAGCGACTTTCAAATACACAACTACTCCGACGGCTTTCTTTCCATGACCAAAGAGACAGACGTGCCTATCACTCAAATCAATTCATTCGCCAGTCTTTTGGTGTCAAACACCCTTTCCGTTTGGGTACGGGAACCGCTTCGCTTGCGGAAAGACACTGGCGGGGAACTGAACGATGTTTTTGCCAAACTCCCCAAAGACATTGACTCTCAGAAATGTCAGCTGCATGTGGAAAGCAAAAAGCTGCCCCTTACTTCCGACACGGTTCTTCGGTGGCAATATCTTGCGACCTCGGCTGCCATCGAGAAAGATGTGCCGTTGATTGAGCTAAATGGCGTGATTGGGTTTCAAAAGGACTATTGCGACGACCCAGAAAACCTATGGGAAGAGCTTTCCTCACCACTCCCTTTCGTTTTCTTCCACCCGATGTTGCCGCTCTACATTGACACTAGGAAAGAGGGGTCACTCGCCCGATTTGCCCGGAGGAGTTGCAAGCCTAATGCCATCCTGGATACGTACTTGTCGGGGCAGTCTGAATACCATTTCTGGCTGGTGAGCGATCGGCACATTGCCCCAAATGAGCAGATCACACTGCCCTGGGAGTTTAGGCTACCCAAGAAGTTTCAGGCCCGCATGCATCACCTCTTGGGGCTGGCCGATGACGATACCCAAGCCCAGAGCGAATCTGAAATGGACGAGGCAGAGTACCAAACGCTGTCCGGCTGGATCCATCGGATATTATCTGAGCACGGCGGCTGCGCCTGCGACTTGGGTGCTAATTGTGCCTTCGCTCGTTTCCACAGACAATACCAAGCCAAGATGCAGTCTCGACCGGCCGTCAAGAAGAAGCCGCGGAAACCCAAAACCCACACCATTTCTCCCACCAGCACCGGTCATGCCACCAACAGCCGCGCAGGCAGCGAAGGCCACCATGAGGATCCAGACAACGATGCTCGATCGATATCGGAGCGCAGCAAGCCCCCTAGTCGCGACCGTACACCATTGCGTCAAGGCTCCCTTGACCGTCCGGGCATCCTCACTGAACCTACTGACAGGGACAAACGGAAGGTCCAAATGGTCGAAGACTCGTTCCGACGCATGGAGCAACAGCAGCCACCGCGCAAAAAGAAGCGCACATCCGACGGCACTGGAACCAAGATAAAGCAAAGGAACTCAACTAGCAACGCGTCTAGTGGAACTTCCCATTACGTCGACGCAGGCACTACAAGAAGCAAATCTAACTCCCCTTCCAGCGGCGTGTCGCCCACACGGCATAACCCTTTCAAGGCCCCAGTATCTCAGAATGGCTCTGTCACAACACAGTCGAGACGAGAGTCCTCTGGGCCTCGTCCTATTTACTGCGATGCTTCAGTGCAAACCGACCCTGTGGAGGGCGAATGGTATAGCGAACCTATTCAGACCCCGAAACCGCGTCGCCGAATCATCTCGTTATCTCAACGGCTGCTCAACAACCGTCACCGACTACGCTGCGACGAGGCAGATAGACGCAAGTCACTTCCCTCTATTTCAACCCATGACCCTATGGATGTAGACCCTCCAGCGGACCATCAGCCTGTGATGGGCTCTCCGACACCATCGAAAGAATCCGTCATTACCGCACAAAGCACATCACCTGTTCCGGCATTGGCTGCCGACGTCATCATGGCAAACGCCCCAACGAGCTCACCCACTACGCTCAAGTCGCCCGTGCAAGCGGATTCGTCGACAGACACGCAGCCCAACGGTCCCAGCAGTCCTTCGAAGCCCAGGTCACCGGAATTGCGGGTACAGATGCCTCCGGTTCCTAGCTTCAACGGTCCCATCCTGGGAACTCCTTGTGCGACTACACCGTCTTCGGCCTCTACGACTGTCCAATCTCCCTTCTCTACGGGTAACCTTCCCAGTCCTTTTGCACCTTCAACCGTCAATGGGGTAGCAGCGCATCCGAGTCCCGTCAAGAAGAAGCTGAGCCTCAGCGACTACACCAAGAGTAGGATGAACAAGACCAAAAGCACTGGCGGACTCAAGACATCACTTTCTGGGATTGAGGAGTCGAAGCCCGCGCTCGATACGATCATGGACTCACCGGTCGTCGAGAAGAGCACAGACATCGTGACACCCGTTGCAGGCAATACGGTCACCTCAATACCCGCGGCCACGGCAACAAACACCTCTTTGTAACATGTATAGAGACCGGGATTCGCGATCACTCACAGGACGACACGGCCAACTCTCTTTCCGCTCTAAATATTTCCAAAATGCAGCACCACTGGTTTGGTATTTTGGCTTCGGCGTTATGGCAGCGACGGACAAAGGGAACGGGGAATGAGGAGGGAACGTCTTCATTTGAAATGTGTTTCGTCCATGCTTGGAGAAACTGCAAAAAAATGCACGTCTGACACGGGGGGAAATAAAATAAGCCTGTCGCGAAGCAAAGCCTTGTCGACTGGCAAGAAACCAAAATTCTTTTCTTCAACGGGTTTACTGGCGCAAAGAAGGCAAGAGGTAGCGATGCCTGGGCTGATCTTGGGATGGGAGAAGAGGGGTTTCTGCTACTTCCAGGAGTGGCATATTTTCATGTGTATTTCTAGGCTTAACTTGGCCACGGTGAGAGAGAGAGAGAGAGAAAGGGTGAGAGAGAAAGCGTGACTTGGCACTGGGCAACGCCCCTCCCGTGACGATGAAAAAGATTCAAATGGATGTTTTACTTTTCGCAGCTTCTGCGCTGCTTATTTCTCGGCTTACTTCATTGTGTGCACTGTTGCTTCATGATGTAGTTTTGATTTCGTCCGAGGTTTGACCCAGCTCTATTTAGGCACTTTTCCCTCTCCTGCCAATCCTTTTTTGTATGTACTCTTACAGGGTATCTCAGTTTCCATCCATATCTGGCATTAAACAAACAGCCTCTATCGACAGCCGCCCTGTTGACTCAGGAACCGGGAGGGGGAAGGTCCGGTGCATTGCAAGCCCAGTGTGATTGTCACATCACGGAAAACGTGAACAAAGGACAAAAGAAGGGGCGGATATCTGATGACCGCCTCTTTTCTTTCTTCTCCCCCCCCCCCCCCCCCCCCGGCTTCCCGCCCCTATTCCATCGACTTGCCGTAGGGAAATTGATCAGTATCTCTTGGTCGTCATGCCCCAGTTATCCTCCTTAAAGATGAGCAGGGCGAGGCGGTGCCGGACGAAGAGGCCGAAAAGGCCGACAAAGAGCTGGAGGAAGGTGACCTCCCAGGCGAGGCGGTCCTCGCGCAGGGGGCCGCGCCAGACAAGCCAGAGGTTAAGGAGGGTGAAGTTGCTCGTCTCGACGAAGCGGCCCTTGTCGTCAGTGGTGACACTCAGCAGACGCATCCTGGCGAGGAGGTGCAGCGCGCGGGCGACGAGCGGGTGCGGCTGGCGCTCGGGGCTCCAGGGGGTGACGCTGGGCTCGAGAAGGCCGGTGCGGGCGACGAAGCGCGGCAGGCGGTGGCGTGGGCAAGGGACGAGGCCGAAGATCTGCGGGGTGGAGTAGAGGAAGTTAAAGAGCTGGGGGACGAGTAGGAGGCCGAGCGTCTTGGAGAAGTGGCCGAGGATGCCGACGGTGGCGAAGACCATGCCGGAGAAGTAGCAGTAGGTGTCGCCGACGAAGACTTTGGCGGGGTACCAGTTGTGGAGGACGAGGGCGAGGGAGACGCCGAGCCAGGGGAGGAGGAGGAAGAGGGAGAAGAGGTGGGAGTCGGTGGCTGGGTGAGGGTAGGGAGTGAGAAGGTAGAGACAGTCGTTGAGGACGAGGAGCAGGGAGACGACAATGCACTGCGAGACCTCGATGCCGTTGATGCCAGCGAGCATGTTGATGGACTGCGGGCAGAACATTGCGATACAGGCCATGTAGACGTAGTAGAGGACGCCGAGGTCAAAGAGTTCGCCGAGGTAGGGCTGGAGGGGGATCGGGATAACGATGGAGGTGACGCCGAAGTCGACAAAGTAGATGACGAGGATCGGAACGGAGGCCAGGCCGGGGATCCACCACTTGTGCCGCCAGCGGATATCGAAGAGGTCGTCGCCGATGCCGAGGAGGGCGATGGTCTGGAGGGAGATGATGGCCGAGAGGTACGAGGCAAGCTGTTTTTTTTTTTCACATGTCAAGTCAGCACATGCCAAGCAAATATTTCCATAACCCGAAAGTGGTTCCCGGACCGTCGGAGTAGGGAGACTGACCTTGCTATGAGGGAAACGGTGCAGGAAGCGACCCTGTTGGACATGCTCGAGGTGGTAGACGACGTCCCTGTTCCCCCCACCGCTAGTGGCGGCGACGATGTCCTTGTAAAAGGGAAAGGGGATGAAGACGATGACGACCAGCAGGTACACGGCGGCGCAGACGGCGCCCATGCACTCGGGCAGCTCGGGGCGGTGGTGCTTGGAGAGGTCGCGACCCCGGAAGCCGGCGCGCTTGAAGACGGGGCCGAGCCAGCGGATCATGGAGTAGGCGAGGGCGAAGGCGAGGACGGACAGGGCCAGGGACGCTATCAGGGGCTCGCCGTCGCCCTGGAAGGTGTTGAGGAGGACGGCGACTGCGGCGAAAGAGAGGGCGCCCAGGCTCAAGGTCTCATTGCGAGTGAGTGCCGCCGCGGCGGAGATAGTGGAGGACGACATTTTCGGATGGGCGGGTTGCGCTCGCGCGATGATGCGCGCAGCCGCGGATGAGGGAGATCCAAATTGGGTTTGTCGATTTAGTTTCCTTGTTGTCAAATTCCGCGTTGCAGCCGGATCCCTTTCATCGTGTGGTTTTGTGCGCGCGAGGTGGGTTGGCTGGTGCGCAACGCAATTGTTGTTGTTGGGGACGTGAAGCTTCTCACAATACAAAAAAGGGTTGCTTGAGGCTGCTTGGGGTTTCGCGACGGGACACAGTTGTCAATTGGGGGAAGGAGGTCTATGACCCCCACCGGGACCGCGTTACGTATCGATGGATTGTGGCCTTTCTGGGCTCGATGAAATCGATAACGTTCCCATGTGCTTCAGTGGAGGCTCCCCATGTGGGTGTTTCGGGAGAGAAAGGGACAACTGCGGGGCCGCAGTGTACAGTAATGCAGGCCAAGGCCAACATTGACAGGCCCCTCGAAAGAGGTGGAGCCGGTGCCGGAGCCGGAGGAGCTGTGCCGATGCTGTTCGAGTTCCAGGGTCTGGTCTGTGCACATGAGAGACTCCTTGCGGTGGTGCATGGAATTCGCATTGTGAGATTGGGGAACACTTGCCTCTGCACTTGATTTAACTCCAATCCTGGGAAACCTATAATCAGTGTATTAACGTCAAGATACCCCGATTCTCTTGGACTTTGCAACTCTAGCACGGCACAAACACAGCCTCCATCTGGTAGCCTTGGAACAAACATAACCAGGCCAGGGAATACTAACGGCGGACTTAAGCACACAGCGGCCGTGTTTCCGTATGGGTGGTCAGCAGCCCCATGGCACTTCTACGCAAGGTCATCTCCGATATCCCTCCCGACGTCTGCCTGCCTGCCTGCCTCTCAGCAACGGACTCGGCCGGGGTCGGCCATGATCGAGATCCGCCACACACATACGCCCCGACCTTCAAGGAGCTCCTCTCTCCGTCTCCGTTCTCTTTCACATCTCCAAACTGAGGTGCGTATCCAAGGCGGTCCCTCTTAAGGTCGTACAGGTACCTATACAACCATACTGGATATAACATAGGTAGTCGGGAAAATGCAGGATAAGCATCATGCCCGATACTCAACATGATGGTGGTTCATACCCCCAAACCCCCTCACCTCGAATCCACACGGGTTCCGGAGATAAAAGATGGAGTTTTCAGGTCCCCGAGGGGGGATTGCCCGCTTTTGACTGCAGGCTGCATGTCTCCCTGTCGTTGGCAAAGTACCTCTCCCCTTAGCAAGGGGGTGGTGGGTGCCGCGGAGGACGATTTGCTGATCTCTTGACGCTGCCCATCGAATCACGATACGCCCTTGAACTTGATGATCGTCGCATCGGCTAGGGTAGATGCGGCACAGGAATTGAAGGGAGGGGTAATTGTTTGGACTTAAACGGCCGTTCTACCAGGTAATGAATGCCGTGGACCTTTGCTTTTATGGGCTTGTGAGCGAGAAAAGAAAAAAAAAAAGAGGTCATTGGAGTCGAAATACGACTAGCACCCAAGTGTTGCTCGCCCTCGGTTGTTGGACCCGGCAGTGGTAACTTGGTTCACCGAACCTTCTTCATTCCAGTTCTTTCCTGCCGTTCTCATCGACCAATTTCGATTGCTTCTCTCGACTCGCCCTCCTCCGCTAACTTGGGATACACAAAAGGAAAGCGAGGAGGGGGGGAAAAACCCTCCACATCTCTCTTGCCAAACATGGGTTCCGAAAAGGAATTAGAAGCGGACGTGACGATAAGCGTGGTTGGCGGCGGCAGTGCTGCCGCCCGCGGCCTCCAAGAAGAGTCCTTGAACCAGGCGACGATGACTGAAAAGGAGACTGACCAAAGACAACGTCACATCTTCACCGCTGCAGATGATTTGGAAAAGGCGGAAGAGGCGCGGACGGAGGGGGGAAGGAGCTCCGGCATTGAGGACGCGACGGACGGCGAGCAGCGGTCACAGGAGGTCAGTACGGCTTCTTCTTCCCGTGGAGGAGACGCTTGGTGGCTGTCCATTGCCAAGGGGAAGATTTGACGACGAACTTCACGAACAACTTCTCCGCCACTCAATTTCTTATTGGGTCCGACATATCGCTGGAAAAAGAAACCGAGATGGACACTGCGTTTGCATGAAAACACCAGCTCGATGACCAGTACTGACAAGCACTACAGGACACCCTCGTCGAGCCCATACAGACGACGCGCTCCCGCCTCTCCCGCATTACAAGCCTCGTCTCCCGCCGTAAGGACAAGGACAAGGACAAGGATGGCGGCGGCGGCGGCGGCGACGACGATGCCCTCCCCGCCACGGTTCACCCCCTCACTGACCTCTCCGCCGGCCTGGTCGGCTGGGATGCCCAGTCCGATCCCGCCATGCCCATGAACTTCCCTCGGGCCCGCAAGTGGCTCATCATCTGGTTTCTGTCGGGCATCACCTTCATGACGCCCTTCGCATCCTCGATCCTCGCCCCGGCCATCGGCCGCTTCAACGAGGACTTGGGAAATGATGACCTTACCGTCGGCACCCTCCCCGTAAGCATCTACCTGCTCGGCTACGCCGTCGGTCCGCTCTTTCTCGCGCCCCTGTCCGAGGTGTACGGCCGACGGCCCGTCCTCGATGCCGCCAACCTCTTCTTCTGCGCATGGCTCATCGGCTGCGCCCTCGCTCCCTCCATCGCCTCGCTCGCCATATTCCGCTTCCTCACGGGCGTTGGTGGCTCCGGCTGCCTCGCCATCGGCGGCGGCGTCATCGCGGACATGTTCCCCGTCGCGGAGCGGGGCCTCGCCATCTCCATCTGGATGGTCGGCCCCTTAATCGGCCCCACCCTGGCGCCCGTCGCGGGCGCCTACATCGCCCAGAACCTTGGCTGGCGCTGGTGCTCGTGGATCGCCCTCATCGCTGCCACGCCCATGGCGCTCATCATCGCCGTATTCAACCAGGAGACCAACCCGCGCGTCCTCATCGACCGCAAGGTCGCCCGCCTACGCGCGGAGCTCGACCGCCCCGACCTCCGCAGCGTCTACGACGACCCCCCGTCGCCGGCGGGCACGCCCAAGCCCACCTCCGCCCAGGTCCTCTTGCGGGCGCTCAGCCGGCCCCTGAAAATGCTCTTCCGCTCTCCGATCCTATTCAGCGTGAGCCTCTACTGTGCCTTCGCCTACGGCGTGCTCTACCTGCTCTTCAGCACCATCCCCCTCGTCTTCACCGCCACCTACGGCTTCTCCGTCGGCAACACTGGGCTCGTCTATATCCCCCTCGGCCTCGGCTACCTCATCGGCATGGCCTTGTTTACCACACTCTCCGACCGCACCGTCGTCCGCATGACAAAGGCCAACGGCGGCGTCTACGAGCCCGAGATGCGCCTCCCGGACTGCATCTACTTCGCCGCTGTGCTGCCCGTCACTTTCTTCTGGTACGGCTGGACCGCCGAGTTCAAGACGCATTGGGCCGCGCCCGTCGTCGGGCTGCTGCCGTTCGGCATCGCGATCCTGGGAATCTGGCAGCCCATACAGGCCTACGTCATCGACGCGTACCCGCTATACGCCGCCTCGGCAATGGCGGCCTTTACGGTTTTCCGCAGCGTCGTTGCGGCGTTTTTACCCATGGCCGGGCCGCCAATGTACGACGCCCTCGGGCTCGGCTGGGGGAATAGCGTGCTGGGTTTCATTGCGGCTGCACTCATACCCGTTCCGGCGCTTATATATAAGTACGGAGGGCGGATAAGGAAATGGCAGGAGCTGCAGCTTTGAGGTGGTGACTGGAGATTGGGTTGTAGGGCGCCGGACTGCAATACACCAATGAAACTAGAGTGCCTAGTAATGCACAAAAGAGTCAGACAATCCTGGACCAAAGAGGAGCAGCAGGCACTGTTCAAACTTGTCTATTCTGTCCAGTGTATATACCTTGGCCCGTTGCCCTTACACCAGGGCAGCTATAGAACTTACCATTGCTAATTATATGGCGCATGTGATTCCTTTAGAGCCAAAGCGCCATCAAAAACACAACCCGTGATCCGAAAATTCCCATTATCATTATCTATCACTCCAGTGTAGTGCCCGGCCGTTGTAGTCATCAGCAATGAAATCCGTCTTCACGTGTCTGTCCCTCTCAGATGAGTTCCCACCTCATGAGGTACGTCCAGCTCATGCCGCACTTGCCCTTCTTCGCAAAGTAATCCTTGGCTGTCATACCTCTTGCGTCCTGCCCATCGATCGTCGTGATCATGGCCACACTGACGCTCTGACCTGGCGCGCCCAGATCAATTGCGTTCACGTCGACCCAATGCCAGAAGCCGTCTGTCTCAATGGGGACCATATCCTCCTTACGACCATCGCGCCCCTTAATACTAAGAAACAATAGCGGAGGCTTTCCCTTGCCATGCTTCTCTGATGTCCAGTGCTCACATTTGTTGGACCACTGAAACCGCACAATTTGACCGCTGTAAACTGGAATCTGGAGCTCCTTGGGGCTGACTGTGTGATCCCAGACACCTTCCTCATGCGCGAGGGTGTAGATGGTGGGCTTGTCACCGTGGACTGGGCCGATGTAGTACTCCTCCCAGGTCGGGACTCGACCATCGGGGCGGAAGAAGTGCCTGTCATCGGATGGGTAGTGAGAGAGTCCGAAAATGTCATTTCTTCGGGTGAACTCATGTGGCTTGAAGTCAGCCGTGTACTCCTTGGTCACATCTGACACATTGCCGGCGCCCCAGCAGGCATCAAGGAGCTTCCATTCCCCACCGTCAATCCGGACGGCGTTCCAGGCGTGTCCGTCAGCCTTCTTGGGCGGCGGGCGCTCGCCCTTTTTCAGAGCAGTGTACCCGTAGCCCTTTCCGTGACCAGTGACCGTGATACATTCGAGGCCAGCACGAAGGGCAATTTCTTTATACGTGTCTGCATAACCCGAGCAGACGGCCTTGCCCAATAGTATGGTCTCGGCTCCAGAGCGACCCCTAATGCAATTGCCAAAAAAGGCGGCACAGTCATAGGCGATGTTGTGATGGAACCAGGTGAAGATGGCTCTTGCTTTGTCTGTGTGAGACACAAATGGGCCGCAGAGCACCTGTGCCAAATACCCTACAGGATCGTTTCTGGGAAGCGACTGCCTAGGGTACTGAGCAGCGACGCCATCGGGACCAGAAAAGTCACGACAGATCAAACAGTCAACTGCGCGGGCATTTGCCTTGGCCGAGACAGCCTCGATCTGTGCGACACTGGGACGGGAACTGAGCGGGATGGGTGGTGGGGCGTCGTCACCAACGTCTGACCGTCTGACGGGCAACGGTGGCCGACCGTTTGCTTGCTGTTCCTGGGTAGTGTAGCCGTTTGCCTGCGGCTGTGACTTGATGTACGATGTTGGGGGCGGGGGCAACCGTCTCGGTTTCTCTGGTGTTTCTTCACGCAGCGATGGCTCATGGACTTGCTGGTTCGGTGACCTCGATGTCAATCGCGGGGGTAGCACCGGTCTCTGAGGAGGCTCGATTTGTCGAACAGCAGGCGAAGAGTGGGCCGACACAAGAGGGAATTTGGGTTGCTGTGGCTGTTGGACGGCAACCTCTTTTGCTCGAGCTTCCCGTTCTCTCTTTGTTGGTGGCAGCGGGGGCAAGTTTGCTTGATCCAAAGTAGGCGGCAGTTTGCGCGCAGGGCCATCGATTGAATGGACGCTGGTAGCAGATGATACTGTATGGTTCAATGAGAGAGATGACAAGTTGGAAATCTCAGAAGCATTCGAGCTACGGCGCACCGTCAATTGCTGAGTGGAAGGCCTCCGAGGGGGCAAAGCTGGCGAGATCTGCTGGGTCGACGTGCGACTAGGGAGGGGTGGGGGGGCAATGCGGTCTCTAGAAGCCGGCGTCTCGACCGACACCTGGGATGAATCAGTTGTTCGCCGGGGCAACGGCGGCGGGCTGGGCTTTGTCTGTGCTGTCTTGATCGGCCGGGGAGGGATCGTGGGACTGATCTGAGGCGTCGGGAGACCGTTTGTTTGAACGACAGGAAGCGTCTGGCTGCGCGGCGCAGGACGATTCGTTGGCGGAGGCGGGGGCGGGGGTCGCTTTGCCTTGACTTCAGGGGCTTGGAAATTCTTTTGCTGGTTCAGGGCGGCGATTCTCTCGGCCAGGGTGTTGAACTTGGGCTCCTCGACGTCAGCCATGACTGATTCTGGGCGAACGAGACTCGAAGATGGTGGGATACGTGTCGAGAAGAAGTCTACCGCAACTCAGTTGGAGTTGGGAACAGGTGGGCTGTATATACGATGGATGAAACGAGCGGGTGTTGGTCGCTAATTAGCTGAAGCCCCCCACCAATCCGGACCGCGTTGGTCACAGCACGATGTCCCAATTGAGCAATAGACAGCAGGCAGGTCTTCGACAACTGAGTCACGACAAGGATTGGGTACTTTGGTACGAAGGGGCGTATTGAGGACTGGGGCGCTCGATTCGCCAACAGGAGGGGGAATGATTGGCAGATATTGACCGGCTGTGTCTGTAGACGGCGTCCTACAAGTCGAAGATTTGGATATGGAAAAAAAGCGAGAGACGGCTGGCCAGCGCAAGACAAAGAAGGGGGGTTGAGGAGGGTATAGGGGCTGACGGTGGTATTAGTGTGTTTGTCTGTAGCGGTCGCGAAAGAAGAAAGCACACTGGCTTATGGCTACCTGGTTGGCACAGGGTGCAGAAGCGAATGCAGTTGAGCGAAGGATAATTGATAAATGGCACGGTTGTCGGCATACGAACAAGTCTTGGAGGTGTTACAAGAAATATGGAGCGAATAAAGAGGTTGAATTGAGGCGATGCTCTCAACTTTGTGGTCGGAGGCCGTTGCTTGCAGACAACTTTAGGTAGGTAGGTACGGAAGGAATCTAGTACCGGTACTTCATTCATTCAGGCAGGCAGGCAGGCAAGCAGGCAGCAGCAGGATCAGGGTCGTCTGGTTGGTTGACGGGACGCAACAACGCTAAGCTGCGACAGGGGGGTTGGTTGGGGAAGAGAAAGGTGGTAGGACAGGTAGACGGCTGAACAGTAATCTGTCGAAGGGAAGAATGAGGAGAGCCAGAGCAAGAAGAAGAGTGGAGTGGGAAAGGGCGAGGGAGAAGAGGAAGGAGGGAGGCAGTCCAGACCAACAAGGTCTCGGAGCAGGTTGAAAATGGCGGCGGGATTGGGGCCAAACTCGGACTCGAGGAATGATTGGGCTGGTTACACGCAGTGAGCGCAATGCACACATGCAATGCAGTTTTTATAGAGAGCCAAGAGGGTATAAACATGGACTCAAAAACGGGCAAAACAGAGGAGGGAAGGATGAGGAGAGTCGGGTATCTGCATGAATTGAACAGGAATAGATAGAATCACGGCAACTGTGGCACTAATCGAAGGCGGTCCTTAACAGAATCGGGGACATGAGACCAGAAAGAGGACCCTCCTGTATGTCCCCCCCTGTCGTCTCCTCCCCTCCTCATCCCCTCCCCTCCCCCCACCTCTCTATCTGATGTTGGCTGCCTTTCTCTCTGTTATCCTAATTGTTGGTCTGTATTTCTATTTTATTTTACGTTGACCAAAACTTAAGATCCGTCGAGGTTATGCACAGTGGCGTCTTGTCCAAGTGGGTGAGCCTTGGAACCCCCCCTGGTTCCTTGCCGGTCTGGATCAGTCGGCACCGCCCAGCCTTGTTGGTGGGGAAGGAACTGCGGAGTGGGGCTTTCCCCTTGGGAGCGGATGCGCTAAGGCCGATCACCGCCTCACGCTGGAGTACAGGTGTGTCCGGCACCCGAAATGTCTTGGTAAGTGGCTGGCCGCTTGTGTTACTGGGCCCTTATGACAGTCCTTCCAGAAAACGGTCAAACGGATATTAGTTCACCGTGGTTGCGGCATTGGGGTATCGTTTCAGATGTCGAACCTTGGTGGAAACAGCGAAGTTGTGACAGACTATCATAACCACCGGCTTCTCACAAGTATTTGGGTGGCCCTACGCAGTCTCACCAACTCTCCACAACGGCGTCGTTGCGCTTCGTAGCTGAGCCATGTCCATATTGGAAATCCGACGCTAAACATACGGCAAATGTAAGCTACCGGTCAGACCCACCTCAGTCAAGTCCGAATTCCCATTGTCTGTCTCCCTTAGTACATATTGACCAGCAAGTCCCGTGGCCGATAGCCAATCGAAGCCACAATCTCTGGCAAAGTATCCGTACACGACCAGCTCTTCGCCTTGCCGCTCGGGTCCACGTCATGGCATCGTCCAGAATCGGGCTCTTCTGCCGATCACAATCGCACTGGGTTTGTTTCTCGTTGATCATGCATTTCATAGCCCCATAGCATGGCCGTACGTACAGTCTTCAGCAGCCTCCCCTTGAGACGGCGTTCGGCTTGCTTTTCTTGAGCAGTCATATAAAGGAAACTAAAGACGTTACCTAAAACAGAAGCATGCGGTGTGGAAGAGCCCCGTCGTACGGAACGACGGGGCTCGTAAAATGCAATTCATCATGGATCATGGGGATCTCTCAAAGAGATCCGAGATGAGAAACCAACAAGGACGATAGGTGGGGCTGAGATGAATTGAGTACCTCGTGCTGGTGTGGATGCGCCCATGCCCTTGCCCATGCTGGTGGTGCTGGCTCTGTTTCTGTGCTGTGCTGCGCGGCGCGGCGCGGGCTGCGAGCCATGCATGTCCAAAGTCTGAGCGCTAGACCCCTTCCTTCTTTCCCTGCCACGCAGACGGACCGCAATGCGCCTCAGGCTGGCGCAAAGCTCGCCCGACAGTGGCTGCCCTGCAACCTATCGCCCTGTGCACGACGGGGAAGAGAAGGCCGGGACACGGAGGCTGACTGGCTGGCTGGCTGGCTGGCTGGTTGGCCTTACAGCGCTGTCGCTGTTGCTGTCTCTTCTCTGTCTGAGAGGCTGGGGGGGGGGGGGGGGGGGGGGCACCCCCTCCCAAGGCGTGCCCCTCCTGCAACTGGCCCTTCCCGGTCTCCCATGTTGCCCTTGTCGTTGTCCGCAGGAATGTCTGCCAGGGTAGGTAGGTAGGGAGGTAGGTGGGAAGGTAGGTAGTGTATCGGGTTCATTGTATTGCTGTCTCCGTATCTTTCTTCCATGTGTCTTGCCCTCATGCCTACCTACCCCAACCCACGGTAGGTAGAGAACCCTTTTGCCCAACAACATACGACCAAAGAAGCAGAGATAGGACCCTCCACCTCGTTGCCTCTGTTCGCGTCCTCCGCATTACCCGTCATAAACCCCTACTTAGTTGGGCCCTATTTCCATTTGGTCATACTTCCCAGGGTTAGTTACTCTTCCAACAACAGTCAGACGGCGTATTCCACTGCCTGCGCCACTAAACTTTCGCCCACGATGGCTTCCGCCGCCGAGTCTTGCGACAAGGCTGATGCTGCCTCCGAGAGCACAGCCAAACCGCTCAACTTCCTTGACCTTCCTCTCGAAACCCAGAAGGATATCTTCAGCCATGTCAGATCGATCCCCCGATTCCCTGCTCTCGCATGCGATCCACAACGACTGACCTTTTCCCAGTGCTGCCAAAGCGACCTCATCTGCCTCGCCCTCGTCTCCAGGCACTTTCGCGAACTAGCTGCCGCCCAGCTCTATCGCAACTTCCACATTGTCTTCCCCGATGAAGATGATCCGTCCTTCGATTCTCCCATCGACAGTCTGGCTGGTGGTCTCGAGACCTTCGTGTCCAGCGATTACAACTATGCCCAGCATCTGAGGGACATCTCCCTCGACACCCTGAGTGCCGGCGACAAGGCTGAGGCCGCCTACAAGCCCTACCTGTACAGCGCCAGCTGCGGCAAGTTTATGAACACCTTGCTATTGTTGACACTCAAGAATGCAAAGTCGCTCGAGACTTTTAGGTACGTCCGACAGTCGCCGACCCGCAGCTCACGCTGACCCTCGCAACACCAGATGGAACATCCGCGTCGAACTCAGCCGTCCTGTATACAAGGCCCTACACCAGATTGCGCCTCTGAAGAACCTCCACATTCGAATGCAGGCCGGCCCGTCTCTCTTCGAGATACCTCCCCCCCTGCCGTACACATCGAGCCTGCCTCCTCAGCCTACCTCGACCCAAGGTCACTGGGATCCTTTGCCGGCTTTCTCTGCAGTGCCGCCGCCGCCGCCTCCACCTTTCGCAAGCATGTCCTTGCCCCTCCCGCCTCCGTACAATCCTACTCTCGGCCCGCCGCCCCCCTTGCCGCCAGCGTTGAGGCCCGCGCCTAGGAGTAGGCGGAGGATATTGGCCCACGAGCCTGCGACGTTGTCGGGCTTCCGTAAACTGAACTCGCTTGCCGTTCTCGACATCGATTCTCTGGATATCGTTACCGAGATCAAGTCCTGCGTGCGCAACTCAGCTTCTACTCTCACGAAACTGAAGCTGTCCTTCTCTACACATCTTGCTTCCCAATCCCGAAAGCCTCCTCCCGAGGCCGACCCCGACGATTCCGACCAGGATGACGAGTTTCAAGTCGTTCCCATGCCATCAGCGCCCGGTTGGGATGAGGCGAGTGGACCAGCAAAAGCATTCCGCGCACAAGAAGAGCGCAAGAGCCAGGAGTCCGTGCTGGGTAGGGTGTTCGACGTGGAGCCATTTCTCGTCAAGAGAACACAGCGTAAGACCCTGAAGGGAAAGGAGAAGGTCGACACGACTGTGAACACAAAGGAAGCTGGATCACCTGCAGAGGCCTTCATGGAAAGACTCCGAGAGGTTTCGACGAAGCTCATGGCGAGCGTAACGGATGGCGACGCCGATGATGGCTCGAAGCAAGAAATCCTGGAGATGATAGAAAAGGCCAGCAGAAAATATCTGGAAGCAGAGCAAGCGAGGACGGCGGCTGCGACAAAGGCGGAAACCCAGACGGAAACCGGGCCTGGGACCTCTCATGCAACCCCTTCGACCGTCACCGCTCCAAGTACAGCGGATGCTGGCACTCAACCAGCCCCTAGTATTTGCGTCTCTGAGCCTTGCCCAGTCGTACCGGAGACCAGCGCGAAGCCAAAAACGAGCTTTGGAACAGATGCCAACCCTGAGGACATCAACGTTGAGGAGCCTATCGCGACTGAGGAGACCGAGGAGCCTTTGGATATCAAGACCGACCAGAACAAGGACGAACCCGTTGCAGCCCCCAAAACCATTACTTCTCAAGCCCAAGACGCCGCGTTCGAATCGCCAACGACAGCTCGAGCTGCAGCAACCTTGGCAACACAAAAGACAAATTTTGAGACATTGGTCCTTCGCCTGCAATATCTCCTTTCTGAGGCTGATAGCGTACACGAAAAGCTTGATGTTTTGCGAAATACATATCCTCAAGACAGAGACCGCATTCGGTCTGGGGAGAATCAGTTGCAGGGCTACTACCGGGATATCGACAACGTACGCACCGAGCTAAATGCGACAGAGGCCGAGATCCGCGACGTGGAAAAGCAAGTCAATGGTATAGCCACCACGGCTCACGGCGAAGATGAAGTAATGAGCGAGTACATCCGGTCGACGAGAGGCGTAGCATTGAAGTCATTTAGTGTTCACCTGGTCCCAGTCAAAGCCTCCGTGCTCAGGGCAGCTATCGACGTACGGGCTCTCAAGAGACTGACGTTGCTGAACGTCGGCAACCAAGCTCCAATTTGGACAATGTTGGCCAAGGAAAACAAGGTCCAGCCGCTCCCGCTGCGAAAGATCTTTACAGACAACGTATCCATCACCTTTCTCACGTTTGCGGGCCAGCTGGAGCAAGTTACTGAACTCTTCATGCTGGAGCGGTCGGCCAAGTACAAGCCAGAGAGCTTCGCGCCAAAAACCAACGTTGTCATGGACCAGATCCGTCGCCTCGTTCTCAAGAAGCACATGCCAACTCTCAACAAGCTAATGATTAAGAACGATTCTGGTCCGAGCTGGGACGTTGACGAGAAGGCTATGCTGCTGATTTGTAATCGCGGAAAGAAACTTGAAGAGCTAGCGGCGGCGGTTGGGATCCGCGCTATCGTAAGTCGACCAAGCAACCTTTTACTCTTTGGACAGATTCTGATCACTTTTACAGCATGTCTTCATGCAGCATATCGCGGGGCTCGTGAGCCTCCGTGCTTTGAATGTCACGCAGTTCAGAAATGACGACACTTGTGTCTGGGTCATGCGTGAGACTCGGAGGTTCATCGTCGACAACCTCTGCCACTACCCAGATTTGAAACTCGAGTGGATCTCCATTGATGATGACCGGGTCGAGCGCATTATTCGTCCGCCTCCTCAGACGCCTGCCGCCAAGGCGGAGGAGAAAAAGAACAAGAAAGGTAAGAAAAAGACCGGCGCAGGCTCTTCATTCGGGACCTTCGGCGGCGCCGGGACTGCCACTGCTACTGGTGGTGGGTCCGGGGTCTTCCCGCCGTTGCCTCTGCCGGGGTGGGAAACAGACAGTGATAGCGATGATGAGGATACTGATATCGTGGCCAACACAAAGCTTGAAACGGTTGAAGGCGTGCACTTCTACGATGTCTGGGACGTCCGCATATTCAAAAAGGAAGTCATGACGGGCCGGCTGTGATTTCTTGGTAGACAGATGGATCAGGGTCACAAACCATGGCTGTCCATGATGCTTTGGCCCATGCCGGCCGTCCACTTTGTTGTGCAATGGGAATTGTACATCTTGCGGAAATATGACATGTTTGAAATTGAGGGCCGCGACAGGATTTACAAAAGGATCGGCGTTGATTGGTTTTCTAGGCGATATCTCTTGGATTGGATCATCTGGACAATACCCCGGCACTAACGGATCAAAGCCTGGCGTAAATGGTATGAAAGCTGGAGAGTTTTTGGTTTTCCTTGCCCAATAGGCAAAAGGCTGTTATTAAGCAGTATGAATCTGCCAAGGAGAAGGGCAGCAAGTTTTCTCTGCCTAGCAGTGGTCTTCTCACCTTCTCTCGTGCCCTTACCTCAAAAACGTCCGAGGATTCTCAACATATTTGCAGATGTCTACTAGGAGCCCGACCCGATCCCATTATCCAGTATCCTGGTTGCCAGACGCCGCTACCAATAATAAGCAAGAGTGCGGTTCACAACCTAAGTTGGTTTAGACAAGCAGCTCGCCATCTTTTTTGTCCTGGGTGTTGGGGATGACGACCCTGTTCTCGTCACAGAAGCTGACGAGGTGTGTCGTGTGGTCGTACGCGGGGAACAGAGAAGGCAGGCCGTCGGCCTCGATGTCCTCGTCCTCAAGTTCAGAACCGGAGTCAGGCTCGAGCTCCCACTGGGCCTCGAGCTCGGCCATCCTCCTCTTGAACTCGGCCAGGCCGTGGGCATATCGGACGTCGATGGGGCCGGCCTGGGCCACGGCATCGTCGTAGCCGTACTCCAAGAGGTTGCAGAGGGATTTGCGGGTAAAGGCGGCGAGGATGAGGCACTCCTCGGCCTTCCGCATGAACTTGTTGTGGGGGCAGGAAGCAGAAGGGGAAATGTCAACACCAGCGGGGGCGGCAGCGATGGCGCCGGCGCCGGCGATCAGATCCATGATATCGAAGAAACCCATGATGTTCTCGTGGAAGGGGGCGGCAAAATCGTTGAAATCGGCGATGAGGCCCTGGGCATAGATGAAGACTTGCTCTGTGGGGGGAGGGGTTTTGTGTCAGTTGTATGCGCCTTGACCTTGGAGTATTATTGACCCCTCACAAATACCAAAGAGCACTAGAAGGCAACCAGACCCAAGAGGCAAGACTCGACGTTGAGAGGGAGGGAAGAAAAGGGGCACAACCAGAGTAGACGGGGGAGAGGGGGAGACTCACTGAACTCGGAGATGAGTTTGGCCAACTTGCCCTCGTGCTCAGCCAACTTACTCTCGTGTTCAATCATCTCCTGCTGTATCTTGATGCGAAGAGAGCGCTCACAGAGAACCCAGATCGAGAGAAAGACAATGATGAGCTCGAGACAGATGGTCCAGAGCATGGCGAGGAGAGGCGGCTCGTTTCGATCATCCACCTCCTCGGGCAAGAAGAATAGGGTGGCGAAGGTGGCGTTGAACATGTTGGGCGTTGCGTGGGTTGCTTCACGAGGAGATCCCTGGGTGAGCTGGAGGTGAAAGTAAAGGTTTACTAAATCGCGATGATGAGATTTGCTGGTGAGGGGGGGGGGCTATTGCTGTTTTTACCTCAAATGTTAAGGGCCAAGGCGAGAAATCTGTAATTCTTGGGCGGGTGAAAGCGAACGGCGAGAGAAGCCGATTTGCGTCTAGGGGACTTTGTTGCTGCGCAAAAGGGGAAACGGGATGAAGCCGGTGAGTGAGAGGCGATAAGGGACGTTTTCTTTGTGGTTACTTCATGCCGAGGTTTGATCGCTTTTACACCTTCACTCAGGGGCTTGTTGTTGTTGTTGTCCTAATAAGTCAACTCAGATTATATGGCCTAGCTGGCCTATCGCTCTATACAAAGGCTCCATGATATGTCTGACTCCTTGATTTCATCACAGTTCTCAGAGCCTCAGCTTCAAGCGACTCTGAACAAACCTCAAATAGATATAGATCTTACTTTCCAGACTGATCCCTGTGGCGTTGTGCACGAGCATTTTGAGACAATGTATGAGCGAATGTAGAGTCCCCCCCCCCTTGATATCTTTGTGGCAGACAGTGGAAAGACTAGAACACGATTTTGGGTGCCTGGTCAGTTGCGTGGAGGGCTATTGCAGATATACGGCTTGGATATATATCACCATAAATTGGCAAGAAGATGCTCTAACTTGCACATCGACAAAGGTATTGCGTGTCTAAGCGAGCCATCCTGGCACTCTACCCTAGGACTCCAGTGAAGATGACCGCTGATGCAACTTTACGTACTGTTTCTCTCATAACGGGGCAGACAACTCATCTCACACAATGTTGTGTGTGCTGTACTGTTAAGGGGTATCAAACTTCTAGTCATTCTGGCCATTGGCCACTGGGCAAAACACCTATCATGTAGCCTTGCCGATTATGCCGTCTTCTGGTCCATTAACGCCATAAGCTCGTCTTCCTCGTCGGCCTCCCCAGCTCGTCTCCTTGCTTCTCTCTCAATAACGCTCCTCGTAATCATCCCACCGGCCAACAAGCCTGTCTCCTTGACCCCTCTCACCCAGCCCTCAAGGCTCCTCATCCCCACAACAAGAAACCCGAGCTCCTCCCTCTCGACGTCAAACACCTCCCACCACGCCACCTCGGGCATCTTCGCTCCGGCTTCTCGGGCCGCAATGTACACCGCTGCCGTCGCCAGCGCATGCGGCTGGTGTGTGAGATACAGCATCTGCGGGCTCAGCAGCGCCGTGTTCAGGTGTGCGATGACCCGCGCCGCCATCTCGCCCTTTGGTTTCCCCACGAAGTCGAGTGCCTGAAGGTACGTCACGGCCAGCGCGTGCGGCAGCGCTACCGCCGTATCGAACCCCAGGGCCCACAGAATCCGCGCCTCAGCCGCTAGCATCCGCGTCTGGAAAGCAGCGTACTCGCCGTCCGTCTGATAGTACGTCGTCGGGTCCGGGCGACGCTTGTTAGGGTCCGGGGGCTCGCCGCGGAAGAGGGGCGACGCGGGTGAGAGAAGGTAGGCGTAGACGTTTGAGATATCGCGAGTCGTGCGCGGGAGTGGTCCCATCTTGGAGACTAGGTAAAGGGCTGCGGCCGATACGTCCTAAGAACTCCTGTTAGTGGCCTGCCGCGAGTGTCTCGTGGGAGCAAGATAGGGGCATTTACGCTGAACTCCCCTGCCATTGGCGACTCCACGAGCCAGTACCGTGCCAGAAGAACGTTTGCTTGCGCTGTTGTTGATTGTGGCAGGTCGAGCAGCACGCCGGCGGCCTGAGTTAGGCACTGAGTCGCATAGTAGATGACATCCTGCAGGTCGGCCGGGAGAGAGCTAAAAGAATTGCGTTTGTAGAGCTGGTCAGCCGTGGCCAGCGGATTGGTCATATGTGCCATCGTTTGCGCCTCGATATATCGTCGCCACCGTCGTCCTTGGAGGTTCCCACAAACAGTCAAAGGCTGAAGAATGGCTATCGCGAGGCTGAAAGTGTCGGATATAGATGTCGCTGTCGTCCGAAATTCGGGTTTCTCATTGGTCGACGCGGATAGCTGTCAAGACAAGTTAGTCAGGCGCGATGCCGTGTGTGTCGTCACTTTGGCTGAGGTCGGACGAGCAGTGCGGCCAGAAGCAACTGGAGGCTGGCCCGAGCTCCCCTCTTCTTGCGGTCCAGGCAGCCCCACTTCTCCCCTCCGCTTCGGCTTAGCGTTTCCACGCTCTGGCCTCACAGGCAGACTTAGGCTCTTGAGACGGTACCTGAGGTTTTGGCTGGCTGGTTACGAAAGGGCTCTGGGCCAATTCAAGGCAGCTGCGTGGAGAAAGGCTCCCTGGTTCCTCGACACCACGCTTCGCAATCCCGCTCAGCTTGCGAACCACACGAGGGCGATTCTCGCGGGAACACAACATCGGTCTACCAGGACATCTCATTCGATACACCTCGAACAATTCGCAGCCGACTTGGTCAATGGATGGCCTGACATCTCGAATACCAAAGTGACCCGTCCATACCCTTCTCCCTCTTCCCCGCATCGGCTTAGTCGGCCAGTCGTGATCCGTCCACCCAACCAACCATCGACAACACCGAACGCATCGCACACAGGTGATAACGACGATCGACGACGAACGATAGGAACGCCGCTACGATCATGGATTACAGCGCCTCCATCAATGAAGAGGCCGGCGCATCGCCCTGGGGCAACTCACCAGGCTCCTCGCCCCGGCCCAACCAGGGCAACTTCGCATCCCTCGATGCTGATCTGAGCGGCGATCGGCCTGGCTCTCCTTTTGGCTACACACCGAGCCCCGGCGACGCAAACCCACAGGGCCGTGAGGACTTTGGTGATGAGCAGTACAGACGGCCGGATACCGCGAGCACCCAATCGGCGACTGAGGTGGAAACACAAGAGTCGAGGACCGAAGTCGGCTCAGAAGCCCGGACCAGCGCCGAAAGCCCTGGACCTGAGCTGCCTCAGAAATCGCATGAACAAGGAGGTCCGCCGAATGTGGGTGGACAGGCCAGCCGGGACCAGCAGCCTCGCAAACCCCAGCAACCTCAGTTCAGACTTCAAGCTAAGATTACCGGCCTTGAGCGAACCGGAAAGAAGGACCCCATCTTGCGGTTCGACGTTCACGTAAGGAGCATTCCCGCTTGGAGATGCGGTGGAGTAAAGATGTCTGACAAGAGCTGCAGACAAACCTCCCAAGATTCCGTACGACTCAGTACCGCGACGTGCGCCGCTTTCACTCGGAATTCGTAAAGCTGGCGGAACACCTCATCTCTGCGAATCCCGAATGTCTGGTACCAACGGTACCTCCCGCCGTGACATCAGCCGGCGCCGGCACTGACGAGGACGAAGCCCGCGTGAAGGCCTTGCTACAAAGGTGGTTCAACTATGTATGCAGCAACGAAGTCCTTATGAGGGACGACGAGATGGTCCTCTTCGTGGAGAGTGATTTCGGTTACAGCCCTATGGTCAAGATGAAGCAGCCGGCGACCGGCGTGCGCAGGAAGATCTTGAAGCAGTTTGCGCCTCCGCCGGATGACACCCCCGAGCTCCAGGAGGCTCGCCCGATCGTGAAGCTCTTCTACTTGGGAACCATGGATGCTGGCCACAAGGTTGATAAGCTTGTAAAGTCTCGCCGAGGTAAGTCCACGTCAATACAGCCCCGATAACGCGTCGTCCTCACCGGTCTGATATCATCCAGGTCTGGGATTGGCCGAGTCTGACTTTGGCGTCAAGCTTGGCTCAATGCACATCCAAGAGCCCCATCAGGGTCTCGCCAACGCCTACCGGAAGCTTGGTAAGATTGTGCAGACGGTTGGCGACTATCACGCTGCACAAGCAACCGCAGAGGCCACCACGATCGGCGATCCTTTCCAGTACCATTCGCAGGACGCCTTTATCGTCAAGGAGACACTCACAAACCGGCAAATCCTCATCCGCGAGTTCCTCCAGGCACAGGAGAACACACGCAGCAAGCTCAACGCCGCCGATCGTCTCAAGGCGAGCTCCAACGTCAGGCGGGAAAAGGTCGACGAGGCCATCACTGCTCTTGATGATGCGCGCCAGAACGAGACCTACCTCTACCAGAAGACGACGCGTGTCACGCAAAACCTCGTGCAAGAACGGCGGAAGTGGTTTGCGAGAACCGCAGCGGACCTGCGACTCAGCATCAGAGAGTATGTCATTCGCGAGATTGAGGCGGAACGACGTGCTCTTGCCGTGTTGGAGAGCGTGAGACCGGACATTCGCGCCATCGATGCATCTGGCGGTCTGAGTCGACTCGGACGCGAGTCTCACCCTCCCGTAAGAAGGGCCGCCGTAGCTGCTAGCCAAGGACCCAAGGGTGATGCTTGGAGCGGTGTTCCACGACGTACCGACACGATGAACCGCAGCGTGTCCGGAAGTCTTATTGCGGGCCTGCCCGAGGAGGGAGACGGCCACGATGGACAAGGTACAGGACAGAACCAGGGCCTCGGCATAGCGGGTGGCCGGGCGAGTCTTTCCGGTGTGGCAGAAGAAGACGACGAGGACCGAGTGGATGCGAGAAACGCGGCAAGCCGATTGGCGACCAGCACCTTTTGATGAGTCGGTCACGCCAGTTTGTTTGCGAGGGACGGGCGACGGAAAAGGCGCCCGACGAAGGGAGGGGGCAACCTTTTGACCAAGCGAGACCCTTTTGGCTTTGGTACAGGCGCTTTTCAAAAGCCCTCGCATGACGTGTAATGCTGTATCCGTCCTGTATGTGCTCCCCTACCCATCCATAGATTCCCAAAGTATGAGCCTTTTGTTCTTCCCCCCACCCCATACCTCTCCGTGATTTCATTTATGCTGCAGCTCGCGCCATGTGTGACCTGGCACAATGGCAAATATGGATTCCGCAATCTTCTAGCTCTCCTCATGGGCCTGGAAGGAAGGGGGGAACAGGTCGGTGTCTGGGTTCCGATGGGTTGTGGTGGTGGTGGTGACGGTGGCGGCGGCAGCGGCACGTCCTCTAGAATTCTCGATTGTGACGCTAGAGGTGGGGAGGACATTGGTCCGTTTACCTTTGCCTTTTTGCCTTGAGCATGCAGTGGCATATGTACGTACGCCATGCATATAACTGCTATCTTGGTTTATCTATGCTGCTGTTGCTGTCTCTCTCACTACTGCACCAATGGCACCCACTCGCAGCGCTTTGCAAACTGAGTTGTCACGTCTCCTCGCCGTACCGTGCCGCACCGGACCGCGTCGCACCGCATGGGCTGTTGTGCCTCTCCAATACCATTTCGGCCCATTTGACCTGCTGTCTGGGTCCATTGGCGGTGTGGCAGGGAGGGGGGGGGAAGCATCGCCGAGTGCAGAGCTGCTGTGCGGTTCGCGACGCTGGCACGTTTGGCTAGCTCTACCTATCTCCCTTGCCCGATTGAATGATGCCAGTTAGACGACGGTCGCTGAATGCACATGCCAAACTTCTCCCGATGCAACGGACGCAAGATTCACATGCCTCCCCCCCCAGAAAGACGAATTGGATGATTGGGAGGCGCCGGGAGGGGAAGATTGGACCGCGATAGCGGACGAGGGCCAGATCAAAAGGTGCCATCCATTCCGTGCTGCTAGTGGTGGTTCCGGCGCCGGGCGGGTTGCGTTTGTTTGCTTTTGGGCCCATTGCCCGGCTATTGTTTGATGCGTTTTCCCAGGTCCCGCTGATTCCCATATGATACATCACCTATCGAAACATGAGTTGATCAGGGTATAATGTTAGATCGCGGCAGCCCTCCGGCTTGCCCGGTGAGGGGTAGTATGCACCTGCCTGAGAGGCACGCATCAAGCTATCAGGCAGACCGATTTGGCTTTGTTTTTCGGGGCCGAGACGACTTCGGCTTCGTGTACAGACACCCATTCTCATCACCATCATTCCCAATGCCGTTGGATCAGGTCGTCTGATGCAAGTAATCAGGGCACGGCTCCTCTACTGAGTGTTATCCTACGCCGGTAGTTCTTCTCCAGCGAGGTCGGTAGGGCTTGCTGTCAGCTTGTGGCTTTCCCCTTTGAAACCCCCTCGATGTGTGGCAATGTGATTCCTGTCAAGCATCCAGATGAGCCAGCTTTCCTCACTCAATCTATCTGGCGTCTGTGCGAGCGATGCGAATGTGTTTCAGTCGATTCCAGAGATCCGATAGATCCCTCGCTGAACGCTTACCAGCGAGGTCGCATCGGGCTTCCCACTCAGCTTACGCTTTCTTGTTGGCATGGAGCAATCGAAATAAGATCGTAAGCCGGCTCCAGGATGTGTTGAACGGACCGACCGCCTGCGAGTAGGGAAATTCGGAGAGACACAATACACTATTAATGTAGCGAATCCTACGCGCAGCTTTGTCATTGCCAGCAGCCAGAGTTGACCCCGCCCAATGCCTCTTCTCGATTGCACGCTTAACCAGTTGAACGTGCTGGTTTTTCTTCATCCGAGAGCATTGAATACAGCAGCAGGATCAACTTCTTCCTCGTCCAAGACAAGCTCGGCGAGGCGTGTGCTAGTGCCAGAGAAGCTAAGCGAGACCATTTCCCGTTCTTCCAGCATGTTGAACTCATGTGCACTCGACTTTTTTCTGCGAGGCAGAAGGACATCGTCGGCTAGTTCTCTGCATCTCGCTGAGCGAGCAAAGTGCCCTACTACGGAAGGAAGGGCCACAGTAAGCGAGCGGTTGGGATTGCTTCCCAAGAAACTCCACCTCATATTCCAAGGGACCAAGAACCGTGGGCGGAAATGGTTCTGTGCGATCCGATTGAGCGAGGATGCAGGGCTTCTCCAAATACGGCATTCATCTCCAAATTTCTCTAGGATCGTGCTTCCGAGCGGCCGTCGCAGATGATGAATAGACAGCTCGCGCAGTCGAAATTGCTTGATTGCTTTCATGAGAGCCACACCAGGGTGCTCGATGAGTCGTTTCGGGTGACGCCAAACAAGTCGATCTTGCTACTTCGAGGGATTGGTCGCCCGGCTCAGGTTCTCCGAGCGATGCGGCTAGGAGAGAGATCATCGGTTCTGTTTAGAATAAAGAGCCTCGCATATCCTGTGGTTACTGAAAACAAGGCCGCGCATGACGCTACTGCGTGTCACAAAGCGATGCCATGGCAGTTCCCCAAGCGCCTGGAGTGGGAGATGTTCCGTCTACTGTAGCAAGAGACCAGGGATGCCGCATGTTTTTATCGCCCATCCAAGCGGCTTGACGAAAGGTGGTGATCTTCGACATACAGATTCATCGTGAAAAGCGGCTCAGGACGAGTGACTCTGTCCGGCTGCATTTCAGCACCACGTATTTGCAGATCCGACCAACTTCGTCGTCAGGATGGGCGGAAGGAGTGATGGCTGCATCTCCGGCCTGTCGCTACAGTTCCCCTTCTTGCCGTGTTCCCACTCAGCAAACGGCGCAATCGTGGATGTGAGTGGCGGCTCCTATCTCAAGACGGACCATCCTATCTCACCTTGTAGTTTAGATGGCTGGTATTTGGCAACAGTATGTGGCAGCAGCTTGGGAAAGCCTCCTATTATGGTGGGGGAGATGCAGTGTGGTCTGAGCTTGGCATGGCCATGTGCAGAGCTGTCTTGTCCTACCGGTAAAACAGAGTTGCAGATGCAGTGTACCCGCATACTGTTCACCATCCATTCATCCGTTGGAGAAAGCCAGCCGTAACAGCACACACAAACGGGGTGGAGTTGGATGCCGTCGTGGCCGATGGCGGTAGTCACGAACCGTTGCCTCAACCATCCCGGTGTAATGCTGCAGTGGTAAAAAAAGAAAATAATAAGAAAAAAGGACAAAAAAAGACAAGAAAAATTAGCCATGTGCAAATATAGACAAGGCTTGCTATCGTGTTCGAGCCGGCTTAAGCAAGGTCGAAGTTGGTGAAGGAGGCATAGCTTCCGCCGTGTCCAACGTTCGGTGGAGATTAGGTAGGTAGATAGGCATGGTATCCGTATTCCTTGGCTTCTTGGTCCAAGCTCTCGCTGGGGTCGCAAGGGGTACCCCAGGAGGGGCAGCAGTTCTCGACAGGGACCTTGAGGGGTGTCCATTGCAGCGGGGCCACACATGTACCGGTAGCAAGCGTCAGCAACAGTGCCGGAGACTGCGGGTTCTGATCAACACGGTGCCAGGGCCGAAAAAGCAAATGACATGCGCGGCAATGAAGATCTCGCCTGGTCTATCTCCAAGCTCAAAGTGATGAACTAACACAATCGTTTGGATGTTGTCAGCCAAGAGAGGCGACAAGGAGAGAACGGACGAACGCAATCAACGGTTGGCAGAGTACCTGAGACGGGGCAGGGGGGTCGGCATGGCATCTCCAATTCTAGAATGTCGACAGCCCGCCCGTTAGCAAGGGTTGGCAAAAAAGAGGCAAAGCAGGGCGGCAAAAGCCATGCAGCTTCATGTGCAGAGGCGAGAGGGGGGAATGCGTCCAATTTGTCATGGTCGCCGGTTCCTCCCGTGTCAGAGTTTGGATGTTCATCTGAGCCCGTGGCAAGATGGGCCGATCTTTGCTGTCCGGATCTATGACGAGCAGGAGGAAATGGACATCGAGGAGCCCGGCTCGAAAAGAAGAGAGTGATATGATATGGAAAGTATGATGGGCGAAAGCGGTTGACTGGTTAGAAGGAGAGGTGTGTATTCCGTACCTACTTACCTACCTACCTACCTACCAGGATATAATTCTAGGTACCTAGGTACACAGACAGGCAGCTAGCTACACCCTGGCATGGGCAGCTTCCGCGAAAGCGGAAAAACAAGCAAGCGGCAGGCAGGCATTGATTGAGCGGGCCATCAGCGGCCCTTTTCTTCAACAATAGCAAAGACGGCAGGCAGGCAGGGTTTCAATAAGCAAGAAATCGAGCAAGCACGCAAGGGAGACGCGAGACAAGAGGGAATACCTCTCTTGTGGTCCTTCCATCCAAACCCATTGGGTGACACGCATCCTTCGACCGTCTTATTCAGACTTTGTTCAGTTCTCCGACCCAACGACAACGGGCCCCGTGTTACAGCAACAGACGTACCGCCTCGTTTTCCGTCTTTCAACATGTCCATGCCGCTCGTTCGATCGATTGCCTGCGATGGATGACTCTTGGCATCGCTCCCATAAACTATCCCGTCTCAAAAGCTGTCAAGGGTCTCATCTATCCCTTATCAACAACCTAGGGGCCTCCGGTGAACGGAGCGGAACTGGACTGGGTAGTCCCGTTGATTAAGGAGAAATTGATGCGCTCAGAGAAAGCCACGACTCGTTACGCCATCGGAAGCATCCTGCGGCACCTTGGCCGGCTGCATCGTCCCTTCCCACTTGCCAGCCTATCCTTGATGCCCTCTCTCACCGTCTATCTACTTTGCTGCTACGGTACTACCTCATACCCGTTCACACACTCGCCCTCTCCGTCTCCGGGCTGACCCAATGCATTCATTGCCTCATCAAGGGCTCTTTGCCCATCATCTCTCGCAACTCATCAGCGATTGCCCGCATCTCTGTCACGTCGAGAACCCCTTAGCAGACCAAGGCTGTACTTGTACTGCCCATGGCACCAACCTTGTCCATCATCACACCTCCTCATTTCCTCTCGTGTCGCCCTCCATCCGCTCCGGCTCTTGGAGCATGCATCGCCGCTGCAGCGACCTCTCCCCCTCCTCTTCTCCAATCCACCCCCTCCTCTCCTCTCTATCCCTGTCGTCTCCATTCCTTTCCGGGCCCTTGCTCCCGGGTACCTCAAACCACCCATACCTCAGCTAACTGTCTCTACCTTGCCCGTCATCCTAGCTCTTGCATGTGGCCTTGTTGCCATCGGGACGAGAAAAAGAACGAGACCGAGGGGGGGAGAGTGTGTAAATTTCCTTGCCATTAATCATTGTCAATACCTGCTCTCTCTCCACCGACTAGTAACCCGAGACAGGCATAGTTTGTTACCGCAACCCGCATCGGACGCACCCAAGGCAATGAGACCGTGGCTATCAAGTTGGGGCTCATGCATGACCTATACCTGTCACCGCACTGATGCCATCCAGGCCATCTTATCACGAGCCGCTAGTCCTTAATCTGTAGTCGGTTCCCATGCCATGTCGCGAAAGATTCGGAACTGGCTCAATAGGGGGCCCAGCCGAGTCACCGCAAAGGGCCAAAAGTAACTTCTATCCGACCTCCTTTTCACGAGCCCATCGTCGGCCATCGACCAATACCCTCACGCCAGTACGCCCAGTGAGTGCTACATATGCTGCCCAAATGCGGGCACCTCGTAGCCCGACATGCTTTCTCAAGTCTTGTTCCCTGCCGGACCATGTACCGCTGAAAGTCCCTTTCATCTATCCCTCCCTCCGTCATGAGTCCGTCCGGTACCAGTCAAGGGTCGTCCTGCCGGATGTTGAGGTAGTTACGTCGCTCCGAGTCTCTTGCATATGATTTCCCGAGATTACACGTACGAAGAAGCTGCTAGCTTGGCTCCGATAAGTGGTCGATGTTTGGTTGGGCGAACTTGGCCAACGTTGCTCCTCATGGCCCTCTTTGATAGGTATCCTCAGGGGCCGCGGCGCCTGCCCGTCTGCCCGTTGACCCAAGAAGGCCCTTGCAATATGATAATCACTGATTGACACCACCATAGACATCATATATCAGGAAGAGAGGCCCGAGTCGGGCAAGCAAGCATCCAGGCTACTTAAGGGGTGGCGGGCTACGACACCTTGAGCCAGAGCTCTCCTGACTCTCTATCGCAATTATCTACTCCTCCGGTTATCTTGCCATTTCTCTCAAGTTCTCAAGTAACAAATCCACTTGCCCACCACCGTCACCCCACGGCCATCATCTTAGCTCAAGCCATACCGTCCTCATCCCACGAGGAACCCTGCCCTCCATCCTCGTGTCCCTGTTACCCCCAAAAACCAACAATCCAAGGTGAACCTATCAGTCCTCGAGCCACGAGCCACCCCGCGTTGGCCCCCTCTTGGTTACCTAGAACCCTCGCCTCGCTATCCTCATCACCCTTTGCTGCCGGCACCCCTCATCAGGCACTTGACCAATCCCGCTGAACGAACCCTCCCTAATAGGAAGTTCGAACAAGCCCCCTTCACTACCCTGACCTCTCACCAACCCTACATCCCACGCTTCACCCCACGTCGCCAGCGTCATCTATCCTCGACATGGCCCCAGTTGCAACGGGAGAGATTGCGCCAATGCATCTACCCGTCTACAAGTCAAGGTCTTCTCCCGTCACTGCCTCTGTCTTGCATGGCCCAAGGGATTTGCGATTGGTAAGTGCTGCTTCTTGGTATGAGTTGTGACGTGGAGAAGGCGGGCTTTGTTACACAATCCCCCACGTCGATCCCGTTGCATCCCGTTGCCTCGAGTCCCTCCGCCCCGCTTACGACATTGTTAAATCTAACGACGCCCACAGGAAACCAGAACGATCGAAGAACCAAGCGCTGGAGAGCTGCAGGTTGCCATCAAGCGCACCGGGATTTGCGGGTCCGACGTCAGCTATTACAAGAAGTTCGCCAACGGAGACCTCTGCGCCTGCCATCCGCTTTCTCTGGGCCATGAGTCCTCGGGCGAAGTCGTCGCCATCGGACCCCAGGTCACAGGCTTCAGGCTGGGGGACAGGGTCGCGCTCGAGGTTGGCGTCCCATGCGGCCAATGCACCATCTGCCGCAAGGGCAGGTACAATCTTTGCAAGAAGATGAGATTCAGGTCCAGCGCCAAAAGCGTCCCTCATTATCAAGGTACCCTGCAGGAACGCATCAATCACCCAGCGGCATGGTGCCACAAGATCCCAGACCACGTCTCTTACGAAGCAGCCGCGCTTCTCGAGCCCCTTTCTGTAGCGATACACGCTGTCAACAGGGCCACGCCCGAACCGGGATCCACGGCATTGGTCATCGGAGCAGGAACCGTCGGCCTTCTGACCGCAGCAATGGCTCGCCAGGCTGGCTGTGCACAAGTCACCATCACCGACATCGATGCCGGCCGGGTCAACTACGCAGTTGAGAAGGGCTTTGCTACCCACGGCCATGTCGTCAACAGCAACTCGGGCACGTCGACACCGGCTGACCCGGGAGTGATGACGCCCGCCAGCATCTTCTCGGTCCAGAGTGTCCAGAGCAAGTTCGACGGCGCCAAGTCGTTGGCCGCAGAGATCCTCGCCCTCACCAGGGTCCCAGAAGAGGTCGAGATGGATGGCGAGAACGATGGGGTCGACGTCACGTTCGAGTGCACCGGGAAGGAGGTGTGCATGCAGACGAGCCTATACGCCACCAGGCCCGGCGGTAAAGTCATCATGGTTGGCATGGGTACGCCCACCCAGACGCTCCCACTGTCCGTCGCACACCTGAGGGAGATCGACATCCTCGGTATCTTCCGGTATGCCAACACCTACCCGACGGGCGTCCGCCTCCTCTGTGCCAAGGGCAACAGCGGCCTCCCCTGTCTGGACGACATGGTCACCCACCGGTTCAAGGGCCTCCACAACGCCTCCAAGGCCTTTGAGCTGGCGAGCCGGACGTTTGACGACGAGGGGAAGCTGGTCCTCAAGGTCGTCATCGAGGCCTGAGCGGGAGGAGTGCATTTCTTTCGGGGCCCACCGTCTTGTCGCTGCAACCCCCCCTCGGAACCTGATGACTGATACCACATTAGACTCTTCCTTTCTCTTCTTTTATGGCGCTTCTCAGGGTTTCTCGAATTGGAACTATCCTAGCTATGAGTAAATGGGTTTAATAATTGGCCAGCCGGGCTGGTTACTGCGACGGGAGCGTGAGTAGGATCAGAAAGTGCTTATAGATCGTCTTTTCCTCGGATGTCAAGGCAAGAAAAGGCTCGGTATTCAGGCTCAAGGGATAGCTTGGAAATTGAAAACGTAGGATATTGAAGCAACAAGTTGAAATCTTTTTTTCTGATTGGCTCCATTGCCATGAAAAGAACGAACTGCTGAAGAGACGGATGCTGTCCAATGGATCGAAAATGATTCAATTCGTTGGAGCCGGCCTTTAGTTTTATAGGCTGGCTCCTCGTACGTATAGTCATGTCTACATTATCGTCCCCTAAACGCCTCTCCATGATAACAACCCCCCCACACCCAAGCGGTCAATGATGCGCATTGACGTTTTGGACGCAATCGCTGTTCGAATGCCGCACTTTACATCATGATGTCGCCTGCGCCCGGGAGATTGAAGCTGGAAGGACCGTAAGCCGTAAAATCAGCCGGCGCTGCTCCGCGAGTCCGACTTCGGGCGGTCTCAGCGATACCGAACTTCTTGCCCAGGTCCCGCATGCCGCTGATGCTCTGCATAAGGTCATTAAGACGCGATGTAATGGCCACATCGTTCTCCTCGCAGAGCACCTCCTTCTCGAAGGCGTCCACGTCAGAGGGAACAACGAGGTCTAGTCGGTTGACGAGGGCCTGAATCTGGCGAAGGATCGTGTGCGAGGGTGTCGTCTGCACACCGCCAGCGGAGGCGACGGCGGACTGCTCTAGGCCGGGGAGATATTCGGACGGCAAGTGCTCGAGGTAGGTGGTAATGAGGCGGATGCGGCCCTGCAGCATCTTGACGGCGTTCGCTTTGGCCGTCAAGGCGGCAACCATCTCCTCCTCCTCTGGCGACAGCTGAGCCTCGGCGATACTCTCTTCACCCGACTCGTCCGCCACGACGACGCGGCGTTTTCCTCCCGTCTCAACTAGCTGGACCTTGGGCTTGGCCGAGGTTTCTTTGGAGGACTCGATGGCGGTGGCATTGCCAGCGCCGCGGGCGACGTGGTCCATGCTGATCATCTCGGCTTCGCCTGTCTCGACCGTATAGGGTAGCTCGCGGAAGCGGAGCTTGAGCTTGGACTCGCCGTCGTCCATCTTCTTGTCCTCGCCATCGGCCTCGGCTGCGCGCGGGTCGTCGACCTCGTAGTTTGATTCATAGATGGACATGGGCAACTTGCCACCAACGGTATGGCTAAAAACTTCCTTTGGGTGGAAGCCTAGGAGCAGCGCAGACTCATTAAAATCGGAGAGGATCTGGTGGTGAATCGGGAGAATGGTGGGCGTCGGGCCATCAGTGGCGAGGAGGGTGTACCAGCCAACGAGGTCGAGGCTGCGGTCTTTGTGGACTGTCTTCACTTTGGAGGCTATCAGCGTGTCTGTACAAACGCCAAGACAGAAAATATGCACCTACTCTGTTCTAGCCTCGCCGTGAAGCGCTCAGAGTCCAGCAGGTAGCCGCCTTCGACCTCTGGTGCTTGCTTCGTGTGGCAGTCAAACGCATGCTCGATGGTAATCTCCCGACCGTTCTGTTGGCCAAGCAGGGCGCCGACAATGGGACCTGGCTGCGAGCGCAGGGTATGGCGAGTAATGTAATCGGAGATGGTGAGAAGTACAAGGGGGTGGAGGACAGCCTGGAGTTCCGAGGACTTCTGGCTCGACATGAGCGGGTTGACGCTGGAGGCTGCCATGTTCGGCGTTGCTCTGGCCGTCGCCGGGACTGTCGGTTGGCCTACCCGGATTTCGAGACCATGCGAGAAGAAGACGAAGAATAAGTGATTGTTTGTTGTGAGCAAATAAACTTTGTCGTTTCCGTGGGCATCTGTCGTCGTTTGCTCGTCGTTATCAAGGCAGATTGGAGTCGGAAATGGGGTGAAGCTGCCTGAAGGCTGCCCCGCGATGTGGGGATGTCAATGGAACGTACAGGTAGGAGCTACTGGGCCTGTCCTGGAAATAAGATTGAGGCTGATGAAGAGGCTCAGATAACGGGCAAGCCACCATTTCCTCCATTGGCTGCGTAGCCTGACCAATCACGTTTGTTTGGAGATAATAAGGAGCCAAGCTCCCCATTGGCTCTTTCTCTCCCCCCCCCCCCCCCTCTCTCTCTCTCTCTCTCTCTCTCTCTACCTATCTAGGTAGCTTAGTTTGAATCCGTTATCTATTGATTCTATGCTGGCATAAGAACATCGCTTCGTTCCAATGTTTTGCATACACCCCCAGATTTATCCTCTCTGTATACTGCACAGTCACTCTTACTCATTGTGATAAAGGTCTTAGTTATCCGAGATGGCTTGAAAGTGACAGATACTGCACACGGGACCAACTGTTTCTGTTCAGAGGCCCTCCCAGTAATTTTGCACGTGCTGCAGACAATCAACAACCGAATGTATCTTTCAATACTGGCCGGGATTTATGGGTAGGCGAGTGGGCGGCTGCACGACTGGGGCGTTCACCCCTGGTATCTCATGCAGCTTCCCTGCCAAGGGGCAATCTGCGTCTTGGTAGAGAGGAGAAGTGGCATTCGAGGTGCTTGTCACAGTGGGAAAGACGTTGTGAATCCGGTCTCTTTTTCCTGCCAGGCTAACCAAAGAAACCGTTGAAAGACAGACAGTGCAACACATTAGCGCCCTTCTCTCGACTTCTCTCTTTTATGTTCATGGTTTGGTACCGCTGCCGTGCCCAGTGTCCCCGTTATTCCAACATGTACGCTGCATACTCAGCGAGGCTATTGTTACCTAAGTAATTGGGGACAGGGTTCAAATATGGATGCTTGGTCGTCCCTGTCAGCTAGCCGTGTCTCTCAGTCTCCTCGATGCTGTATCCGCTGCCGCTGCCGCTCCCGCAATCTGGAGACACCGTCACACTTCCTCTTCCTAATCCCATCGACATGGAGAGCTCTAATCATCACTTTGGCATGTTTCCTCCAGCATTACCAGCAATCCCCACATCATACCCCCAACCTGTCACACCAGCGAAACGCGAGGATGACGATGTTCAATTCGTGTCTTCCAACCCTGTCAAAAAGAGGCGGATCGACTGTCATCAGGCCGCTCCGCAGTCGATCGCAAGCTCGCCGCACATGAGGCCGCCTGCACTATGTAGCCATGAGCCACCTCAGCCTGCCAAGCCGATTGCGCAGCCGGAAAGACGGGGGAGCACCGGTATGGTCGCCCCCACCCCCGCGACTCACATGCCGGACACAGACCCGATGCGAGGATGTTCCGTGCCGACTCCGGAAAGGTCTGGCTATCAGGAGACGTTTTGGACCGCACCGCGTACCGGCCCACAGAGCTCCCCGCCCGTGTCACCCAAAACACTCCCAGAGAACATCTTACCTCCCATGCTTCGGACTGATAACGCTCATGAGTCTGCAAATGGGCACCTGAATAGTAGCGTCGCGCCAGTTGCTGGATGGCCCGGACTGGTTCAGCCGACCGATACCACAAGCCATGCGTATCAGTCACCAGCAACGAGAGATCAAGGTACGCCAAGTCAAGTACAGCCAGAGATGCAGAATCACGCTGAGACTACAAAGGACATGGTGCCTGCCCATACGGCTCCATCGCCAGCCGGCGTCACTGATTCTGGAGAGGCCACAGCTGCTATCAACGCAGTACCAGTGTCAGGTGCAATGGTTACATCGCAGCAGCCAACCACTCTGGAGCCGACTCCGGGTCACTTTTGTACTGACACTGAGCCGAAGCATGCTGCGTCTGCTTCTCCACGTCACCATACAAGCGCCGTGTGTTCGAAGACCACCATCAGTCAATTCCAACCTCACACTCACCATTATACTTCTTCTTCAAGCCCTGTGGTTTTGGCTGCCCAGGTCGGACCTTATTATGGCGCATCCGAGACTCAGGCCGGTTCCTGTCGTGGGCGTCCTGCGTCGGGGGCGAAGGGCCCATGCCGGCAGTGTATAGAAGCGAAGATGAGGCAGCAAGCTGCCAACATGACTGCTGCCACGACCCTCCCATCCGCCCAAAAAGCGCAGTCGCTAAATCAGACCTCGGTTCCGTCATCCGCCATTCAACAGCCATGGGCTCACCTCCTAGGAGTCAATCCTTACCATACTGCGATGGCTGGAGCCATGTACGGTCCACTACTTCAGCAACCTCTGATGCCCGGTGCTACCGGTCCGTTTGCCGTCCCACCGCAGCAATCACATATGCCCCATGGAATTCCTACACACCAGGTAGGCGGCAACATGTATCATTTCGGATCTGTGTCGCCCATGCCGCAGACGCAGGCATATACCACGCAGCAGCCACCAGCGAAAGCGATTAAAGTAGCGACGGGAAACGTGAAGCCACAAACGGCTAGAATCCCCGACACGCAGCTCACAACGAAACACATTATCGTCGACGTCGCCGACACCTGCTTCAGCGTCTTCCCCTTTGCCGAGGTTGCAAAGCGGCACAACCAGCCGGAGCAGAAGGTCAGAGACATCTTCTCCGCCGTAATACAGGTGCCCTTGCTCCGCTGTCCCACTGACAAGAGGCGAGCCGGCAAGTTAGGCACCGCTCGGGTCAAGGAGTTTAACCAGGCGAAGAAGGAGGTCCAGGCACAGCAGGCCAACACGGGGCAGCTTCGGGAGGAGTCTCCGAGCCAGGCGGCGTACATGCCGTCTGCCTGGGATGTTGCGCAGTTCATGGGCCCAAGCGATATGCGGCCCGGCGGGCTTCCGCAGTATTCGGGGCCGTGGTGATGGTAAGCTCAATTTTTTAGAGGTCATTGTATTTCACAGCGTTGATTCTTCATTCTTCTGGCCATCTGGAGAGGTATTCTGAGTCTGTATCTATACCCCATATCGCAAAATATTTCAGCTTTGTCCACCATCAGACTACGGCCCGTTCTCCTCGTTACCTGAAGAGTGAGCGTCGCCTCCCCCGCCTGCTCCCGGCCATAGTACGTCACCGTACCTTTCCTCCCTCACCAGACTCGTGACAAAGTTCCTCTGCCGCGACGAGCGTGTGTGCTCGAGCATGGCGCGCCGGAGACGGCGCATACCTTCCTCGTCTCCACAGGCCTTGGCGCGTCTGTAGCCGATCATGAAGGTGGCGTGCTCTGCCTCGTGGAGCACGTGGTTCTGGCCGTAGTTGAGGGGTCGGTGGCACGCCGCGCAGCTGTCGTTGATGAAGGCCGGCTGCCATCGCTCGCCCTTGCACTGGGCGCCCGCGCCGCATTCTCTGAGGCGGGACCGCAGGACGTGGCCGCATGACATTGTGGTCTCTGTACCTTGGCACATGGTGGGGATCTGGCCGTCGTGTTGCCTGTGTCTGATCATGGATTTTCTGCCGCGCATAGCAGCTGAGTGTCTACTAGTAGTCGTTGTCATTCCTGTTAACTTTATTCTTCTGGTGTAGCAAGATCTTGGAAGCTGCTCGCAACTTCTTGTGGTGTTTTGGCACAAGACTTTCGCGTCAAAGGAGCCCATCGTGGCCATTGTGGCTTTTGTTCGATTGTGTTTGGAGACTCATTTGACCCGCGAGTGCTACTCTTTCATGGGCTGGATCAAATTGACCCAATCTCCCCTGTCAATGCACGGGATTCTAAACTCCCTCTCATCCCAGGCAGCGGCCTGTTTTACATCACAGATTATGTACCAAGTTTGCCATTCTTATTGGCATGCATAAATCACAGTCACATTTTATCTCAAAGACAATGCCCGCATTAAGCATTTACAAAACAGCGGATGCTATCATCCGCCGCCATCGCCCCTTATTAACCCGAACGTCAAGGAAAAGAGGAAGTGCTGATAAGCGGTTGCCCGTCAGCGAATAGAACCGCATACCGGACCCACCAGTCCAGTTCCGAGGATGTGAGATGTCCCAAACAATTGGACGACAGCGCGGATGGAGACAAACTGATATCGGACTGCAGAACCGCCGGCCCGCCGAGGCGGGAAGGGTGGACATATTTGCTAGAAGGCTTGTTTATCATGCACGATACGTAGGCACCCTCCTTGCAGCCTGTTTATCTGTGTAATGACGAGCCGCGTGTGAGGCCTTCTAGATCCATAGATCCCGTGTCGCGATCAGTAGAGGGTTTCTCGCTTGCCTTGAGGTTTGAGAGGGCGGCTTTGAGGAGGTGTGCTGGAAATCGACGACAACACCTCTTGCGCGTGGATAGAGACGGCATGTACCCGGAACGGAATTAATAAAGAGATTGAGTACATACCTCTAAATCCACAGATAGTGTGGAGAGAGAGAGAAAGGGAACATAGCAACCTTTCCAAGACCCAGATAATAGGGACTCGTGATAGGCGTTTCTCGTGTGGGTGACTTTGTTTTCATATGCTGTGACACCATCTTTCACTAGGAGCACGGAGAAAACCCGCCAAGTACCTAATAAGACTCCTCCCGAGGTTATCGATGACGAAGGTGTCAAGAACAGAGGATAGAACTAGCTCTTGAGGCTGTATTCCCTTTCCTGGTCTCAATGAGCTCTGTCGGAATTCCCGGACGCACCACGATCGCTGACTTCTGTCAAAGAACCATTCTCATCAGCTTCATTTGCCTTTTCCTTCCATTAGTAATACTCGAAACGGGGCAGTATGGAATACAACGCTGACGTACGTAAGATTTACAATGCCCTGACCGGCCTCGGTGGTTTTGGTCAAGTCGGCTCGACCGTCGCAGCATGCGCCATTCGTCACTCTCCTTCTCATCACAGTTATCGCGGCCTGATTCTCGCCCTTGTCGTGCCCAAGATTGCTATCCTTATTAACGGCAGGACGTACGCGCTGTACAGTGGCAGGCCCCTCAACTTCCACCTTAAGTTAAATTATGCCTCCTTCAGGGCCCAAACAACGTCTCTATCCCTTTTGATCAATTCCTCCAGAGGAAGTAAGCCAGGCAATCTCTAAACAGAGCAAATGGCACTTTCGTCATTGAAACCGGCGCGATCCTCGGTATCAGCTCCTCCTGTATCTGAATTATCCAGGGCGCTATTATGGCGACCTACGTTCACGAGTCGCAAAAGGGGCGTGCCATTGCCACCTTCTGTATCATCCTTCTTCTGCGCCAGCATGCTCTACCCGTACCAGCAGAACAGCATTAATGGCATGACGTTCAACATCCGCACCCGCTCCCTCAAAGGCGCGCTGTACTGGATGGCCCAGTTGTTTAGCGCCCTTCTCATCAGCCTCCTGATCGATCTGCTCATGTTCGAGCGGCCCGGCCGCTCCCGCCTCGGCTAGGTGCTCCTATTTGTCACCGGCATGGCCAGATGGGACGGCGGATATCGTTTCTAGGAATGCAGGACGCACGGCACGCGCAAGGTCTCGTATAAGATATCGAATATGCCCAGTGATACATCTCGATGGAGCCCGTATTCTTGTACATTTTCTACGGCGCCCACGACTTGCTGTTCCAGTCGTACTGCTACTGGCTCATGGGTACAAAGTCCAACTGCACGTAGAGGGCTGCGTTTCTCATGGGCGCCATGGCCTGGAGGATCAACACATACGAGTGCTATGGCGCAGCTTGCCATGAACTGGGGCCTCAGCAGTTGGTTCTTGTGTTGGAGACGGTGTGGGCTGTGACCAAAAGTACCAGTGCCTTGGAGGAGGCTGGCGCCGCAGTACCCAGTGAGAAGGCCGACGAGAAAATGGTTAAGGGCTTGTAAGGAATGGGGGGTATGATATAATACATCCATTTAAGCCTGGGCGAATCCGCTTTTGCGCTGATAACAAGCACACACTTGTTTCCGTTACATTGCTCACTGAGACGCCGCTGTGGCAAACTGATACCTCAGTTTTGATAGATAGGATGATGAAAACGGGCATGAGGTCGGGCCTTGAGAACCTAGCTCCATTCTCCAACTCACCATAGCCCAATCGTGATGGCCAGTTGAGAAAGTAACTCTTGGCTTTGTGTGCAACTCACGTAGACACCGTTGACACATTAAACTTCTACATTTTTGTAAGAAAAACGGGCCAGGTGACTAACCGTCCTTTGGTGGATACCTGGATACTACCAGGATGACGTGTCGGACACACGTGAGGCAACAAAGTAGCAGCACTTCGGTATATATACTCCGTAGGCCACGAACAGTTCTGCGATTTCGAGATGGAGGCAGACGCCGTGAGAGAATGGAAGCTGATGTGTTCCTGGCTTTCTGCTTCCAATAGGTTTGAGGAAATTTTCGACGAGATAAAATTGTAGCAAGTGAGACTACGCTCTGCCCTAGGCAGGACACTGATGCAGTGGGCGGTACAGGATTAGAAGGCGTCGTCGGGAGACGGGAATCGGAGATCCACTCGAGGACCGGACACCCGCAGCGATCTTATCGATAAGCCCGGGCCGCGTCTCTGTCCAGAAAGAGTTTAGTGAGGGGCACCGCCCCACCAAAAAATTCCTCCTCACCGATGGGGTCCGGCAGGCGGCACTGGTAATAGTGACTGTCTCACTCGGCGGGCTTGTTTGTAAAGATATAACGCTTTATGATATCCTGAAACCCCGAGACCAGGCTTTGAACCATCAGCGTTATAACCAGACTCAAAATGGGCAAAAAGAGAGAAAGAGACGAGGCTAAGCCGGCCGAGGATGTGAAGATGGCCGACGACAGCTCTGACGATGAGGTGAGGGTTAGAAAACGCCCGTCTTCCATCACGCCTCGCTCACACAGTCCAGGACTTTGATGTCGTCAATGTCGACTTTGAGTGGTTTAACTTTGACCCCGAGATCGACTTCCAGGGCACCAAGACGCTCCTGCGCCAACTGCTGGACGTCGACTCCACGCTCTTCAACATCTCAGGCCTCGCAGATCTCATCCTGTCGCAACCCACAATCGGGTCGACCGTCAAGGTCGACGGCAAGGAGAACGATGCTTACGCCCTCATGACGGCGCTTAACATCAAGGAGCACAGCCAGAAGCCCGAGATGGCGGAGCTCGCCAAGTACATCGTCGAAAAGGCCCAGACCAACGACGCCCTGGCCCCGATCCCCCAGATCATCAACAGCGGCGCCCAGGTCGGCCTCATCATCTCCGAGAGGCTCATCAACATGCCCTCCGAGATCGCGCCGCCCATGTACCGCATGCTGATCGACGAGATCGAGGCCGCCGTCGAGGACAAGGAGCCCTACGAGTTCTCGCACTACCTGATCCTCTCAAAGGCGTACCAGGAGATCGAGTCGACGCTCACCGAGACGGAGAGGAAGGGCAAGAAGGCCAAGGCCGACACTTCCATGTGGCACTTCCATCCCGAGGACGAGGTGTTTGTGAAGCACGCAACGGCTCACGGCTCGTTCCATTTCACCAACGAGGAGAAGGCGGTGGCGGACAGCAAGCGTGCTTTCTCGGAGATGGGTGTCAAGTCGCACGGCTACCTGATCCTGATCGAGGCCGGCAAGTGGGAGGGCGCGGTCAAGGCGGTAGAGCAGTACTTGAGCCCGCCTCAATAGAATCAATAACGATGCATCATTTTGAGCAATTTTCCTCTTCTTCTCCTTCATATTTCTGTTCTCCTCTTAAGTCTACTCTACTGGCTCTAGTCTTTGCATAAGATACTCGACCTCGACTTCCTTGGTCAAGGGTATCACAAAGTCTTTGTACATGGCGACCACGGCGTCGGCGTCAATCTTGGCCTGGTTCTCGGGGCCGGCTCCGATAGAAGGGTCGGTGCCGTAGGTAAGCACCTTGAGGCGGAGGCGCTCGAGAACCTTCTTTTCGACGGCGGCGTTGGTGATGGCGTCGGCGATGCCCTCGCGGTCCTCACCCTTGATGAGCTTGGTGTACTTTTCCGGGTCCGACTGGAACTTGGATTCGGCGACGAACTTTCCAAAGTGTATCCTGCGCGACAGGGCCTGCAGGCAAGCAATATCGCAAGTGGCGGAGGAGCCGTAGTTCTCCTGGGACTCGCCTCGGTCTTCGTGGCCGAAATCGGGGCAGAGGGCGGGGAGGAGCTTGTCGACGTAGAAGTCCTTGATCTTGCTATTGACGTTGACGTCGTTGGGGTGCAGGATGCGCGGGTAGTGCAATGGCTTGAGAATCTGCTTTTGGACTGCCTCGGGGAAGAAGGGATACTCGTCTGGCGAGTCATAGCGGCGGATAATGGACTGCAGCTTCTCCTGTTCGCGTAGGTACCAGTCCATGAAGCTCAGGTCGCTATTGGGGATGTCGAGTGCGCCGGGCACGTAAATCGTTTGGTTGCGCGGGAACTGTGCTCGCTCGATCAGATGAAAGGTAATAGTGTCCTCCAAACGGCTAGTTGCGCATTGTTGTCAGTGGGTTTTGTCGGGACGTAAACACTTTGAATGTCTTGGAAAGGAGCGACTAACATCAGCTGGTATCGAATGCGGGACAAATCCAAGGCCTTGGATGGGTCCGATAAGTCGATGAGAGAGTCCATTTCGTCATCAATCGATTGATAGACCAACGGGGAATCGTAGACCTGACCTTGAGAGTTGATCTGGTGCGAAACAAGGGATTGGGCCTCTGGCTGGAGGGACATACGCATTCGGGAAATGGTGTAGGTATGTCGTCGAGTGACGAAAACTATGGGGGTGGGAGGAGAGACGCTGCAGCCGAGGCCGATGACGCTCCAGTTCAGTGGGAGAAGTAAAAAGGGGGGAGGGGAAAGTTCCGACTATTACGCCGCAAGGCTACTACTACCGGTAATATCGTGCGCTGGACCTGCATGTATACTACACTAAACCTAGGTCCCTAAGGTAGTAGGTATACGGCGGGATGGCTCCAGCGGGCACAATCAGTGGGCCCTACCATCTTTTGTAGAGGCACGCACCGAAGCGGTCTCGCACTTTCTTTGCCATTGTGTTCCCGTGCTCATGGCGTGCGACGTGCCGGCGTGCAGGGAGTTGTCGGGTTTTTTTTTAGCGCATCACCCAGACACAAGTGCAGTACATACTGACCCCAACCGGGGCCCTTGCCGGGGTCAGTGAGGTGTGGATACGTATCTGATTCTCTACCGAGACAAACAAAACTTGACCTTGTCGAAGCACAACCTGGAGCTGTTCCACCATTGTAAGCTTCGATTTTCTCTCCTTTCTCCCCGGTCCTCCTCCCCGTCCCCCCTTGTGCTACTCGTCGTCGCGCGTATCGAACCGAAGAAACATACGTACGTACGCATGGCCGCCTCGGATAACGACCAGTATGGCTTTCACGACGATGCCGGAGACGATCAGTCGGTCCTGTCAGTAAGTCACGCTCGCCACTCGCGTGACCTGCTGTTGCTTTCCATCGTGACCCGGAGACTGACTAGACTGCGTTGCTCGTAGACGCGTGGCATCGAGGCCTTTGGGCGCAAGGTCACCACGACAGCAAGCCAATTGATAGCACCTCTCTCCGATCAAGGGAACACCAATCATCACCACCATTATCATGGCGCCCTGGCCGAAGTCCACAAGCAGCTGCGCCGGCCGACCATCCAGCGCAGCATGTTCTCCATGGCTAAGACAACGCCTACAGACATGGTCCGCTCCAAGCTGTCCACGAACGAGATCCAGCATCGCGCCCTGACCTACTTGCCCGACGAGTTGCTGGCCAACATCCCCGACGGTGACAACTCTTACTCCCTATTCCAAGGCTTCAAGGCAAGCTTTCCCGACCTGACCGAAGAGGGCAGAAAGCATCGACGACGGATATCGAGAGGTAGGAAGCTGCTGGAGGATGCAGAGCACATTCCCGGCACACCGCAGGCGCTGCAGAACCTCAAGAAGGATAAGGCCTCGATGATGCACGAGTTAGAGATGCTGGGCGTTCGCAAAATATGGCAAGCAGCGAGATTCGCGATATTGACAACAAGATTGCCAATCTGCATGGCATGCGACGCATCATCCTCGACAGGCTCGCAAATCTGGAGCAGGACGAGACACTACTGGAACATGACCGTGAGCGCAGAACCACGTGGGATCGTCCTGTGGCCTGTATGATGCTGACCCGTGCTAGTTATGGACGTCGAAGCCAGACTGGAAGAGGCCCAAGATCTCGTCGACGAAGCCGAATCTGTCGCGATAAACACACCCACCAAGACCGAGGAAGACCTGGCCGGCGACCAGGACGAAGCCGGGTTCATGTCACAATCCGTCTACGAGAAACTTCCAACGGCAGCTGGCACACCTGCTGGTACGCCAGCGTCTAAGGCTAAGAAGAGGGTGGTCCGCCGGAAGTCAATGCCGATATTGCACGAGCATTTTGAGGCCGGCACCGCCATCAGGGAAATCCGCGCACACCAGGACACGATTACGGCTCTCGATTTCGACGCACCTTTCGGAACAATGGTTACGTCGGCCATGGATGACTCGATCAAAGTATGGGATCTCAATGCTGGGCGATGTATCGGCTCATTGGACGGACACACGGCTTCGGTTCGCGCACTGCAAGTGGATGACAACTTCCTCGCCACCGGAGGCATGGATGCTACGATCCGACTTTGGGACTTGAGCAAGGCGCATTATGACCCACACGGCAGCCAGTACGGAAGGGACGAGGACGAGGACGGTATTGCATTCGAAAATCCCGATGACGGCCCCGTTGAGCCTCCCGAAGGAAGCATGAGAGACTGTCACCTTTACACCTTGCAATCCCACGTCGACGAAATCACGGCCCTCCACTTCAGAAACGACATACTCGTTTCCGGCTCGGCAGACAAGACCCTGCGACAGTGGGATCTCGAGAAGGGCCGCTGCGTCCAGACTCTGGATGTCATGTGGGCGGCGGCACAGGCTTCCGCATCCCTCGGCAGCGAGAGCTCCTGGAGGCAGACAAATCGAGCGCCCGCACAACAGGCTGACTTCATCGGAGCTCTTCAAGTATTCGAGACTGCTCTTGCATGCGGTACTGCTGATGGCATGGTTCGCTTGTGGGATTTGCGAAGCGGACAGGTCCATCGGAGCTTAGTCGGACACACGGGGCCCGTGACGTGTTTGCAATTCGACGACGTCCATCTCGTTACTGGCAGTATGGACAGAAGTATTAGAGTGAGTTAAGGGCTCTCAACCGTGTTCACCGCATCTGCTGACCGTTCATAGATTTGGGATCTCCGTACAGGATCCATCTATGATGCTTACGCGTATGACAATGCCGTTACAAGTATGATGTTTGACGAGCGGAGGATCGTTAGCGCTGCCGGCGAGGACGTAGTGAAAGTGTACGATAAGGTGGAAGGCCGCCAATGGGACTGTGGCGCGGGTATCTCCGAGGCCGAGGAGGGCAAGACGCCCGCCATCGTAGAGCGGGTACGTGTAAAGGACGGCTACCTGGTCGAGGGGCGGCAGGATGGAATTATAGGAGTATGGACATGTTAGAGTATACAGAACCCTTTTCAGCACAGAACAAATCAACGCGATTATGACAACAGGCCAAAGTTTGAGAGGAGCGTCAGGTTTGTGGCGAGTCTGTCAACAAAGCCTGTGAATGTGTTCTGGCCCTCAACACGCTACCAGATAGTGAACGATGCTCCTATTCTGACCTCTCTCACATTGCTACTAAACATAAGCTTGTTCCATCCCAACTGATCACCAACCGGCTGCTTGCCCGGCTATCATCCAATCTCACATGGGCGGTAACCATCAGACGAAGCGGCCCCACCTGGCGACTCCAACTTTTTGCCAATCACTTGAACGAGAGTCTACCTCGCCACTTACAAACAGGTATTCAATCACACTACACCCCAACTACACATGGCTACGGGGAGCCACAGCCCGTCAGAACAGGACGCCGGCACGTCAAAGGTGACAGGTGAAGCCCCCAGGCCGCCGTCAAATAAAATGCCCGGCCTAGACGACCCCGCGTTCACCGAAGAATGCGTCAGGGCAACGGCCTCGATACACACGGACGCTCACCACCATCTCAATGCCCTTCCCAGGAACCTCGTACAACAGCAGCTTCCAGAGGATGAAAATTACGGCCTTAAGCCCCTAGGCCCAGAGGTCCTCAAATCGCTCGAGGATCTGGCGCTCGACGTCTTGACAGTGCACGCGTCGGAAGACGCACCCTCGCCACAGGACGGCGTCCGTCTCCTCCGCCGCCTAGACGGGGAAATCGAGAGGACGTACCGTCGGTTCTACAATTTCGTGTACGCGGATCTGCCGTACTGCTGGAGGCAGCTGTACACTGACTTGAGCCTGCTGAAGTTCTCGTGTCTCGTGTTCTTGAGGGAGTGGCAGAGGACGGCCGGCGGCGGCGGCGACGGCGAGGTGGACGGCGACGAGAAGCTGCTGGACGAGTTAATCGCGGTACTCGACAGGGCCCTCGTGCTCGCCGGTGGAGCGGGCGTCGCCCGCGGGAGGAAGACAATCTCCGAGCTGCTCACCCGCCTCGAGGATGACTGCACACTCGCGCCCGGGCCGAGGCCTCGTCTGCCGGCCGCGTTCCCGACGTCACGACCCTTCACACCGCCCGTCACGCGCCCGATCCGCGTCATCGACGGTATGTCCATGGCGGCGTTCCAGTCCTACCTGGATAGCCCGCCGGCTGCGGACCTCGGCCCGGAGCCGCTGGTCCTGACGTCGCTGCTGACGGGCTGGCCGGCGCTCTCCATGAGACCGTGGAGCTCGCCGGGGTATCTCCTCTCGAGGACGCACGCCGGGCGAAGGCTCGTCCCGGTGGAGGTAGGCCGTAGCTACGTCGATGAGGGGTGGACACAGGAACTCGTCCCGTTCCGGGAGTTGCTATCGCGCATCGTTGCGTCTTCGTCTTCTGGCCCGCCGGCCCCTTCGTCGGCCCAAGACGAGGCGAGCGCCAACGGACGAACGGCGGGGACGACGTACCTCGCCCAGCATGAGCTCTTCTCCCAGCTCCCCCACCTCCGGAACGACATCCTCACCCCGGACCACTGCTTCACCGCCCCGCCGCCGCACCCGCTCGGCCCGTCCGCGGACAAGCCGGAGCTCGAGCTGCCCCTAGTGAACGCCTGGTTCGGCCCGGCGGGCACCATCACTCCGCTCCACACGGACGGGTACCATAACCTGCTCTGCCAGGTCGTCGGCGCCAAGTACGTGAGGCTGTACGCGCCGCACGATTCCGAAGCCTTGTGCCCGCGAGGCGTCGACGATGACGATGACGACGACGACGCTCTCGCCGAAGAAGGGGGCGAGGGGCCAGGCGAGCATGGTGTGAAGGGGGTCGGAGAGGGGGAGGGTACGAGGAGGAAGGTGGATATGAGCAATACAAGCGCATTCGACGTCGGCGCCGTGGAGGGCTGGGACCCGGACCCGGAGGGCCGCGACGCCATCGAGCTCGAGGAGTTCCGCGGGTTGCGGCACTGGGACTGCGTGCTCGAGGCCGGCGACGTACTGTATATCCCCATCGGCTGGTGGCACTACGTCCGCAGCCTGAGCGTGAGCTTCAGCGTGAGCTTCTGGTGGAACGGGGACCAGTACGTCGGGCCGGGAGGACGATCTCCTGCGTGACGAGGGCCATCTCCCCGCACCGTTCTGTCTTTTCTTTTCATCATCGCGGTGCCAGAACAGATACCCCAGCCGTAGATGGCATGGCCACACAATCAGCGCAATCATATTTCATGTATTGTTTCTCTCACATCACAGTCATGGAAAAGAACAGGCGGGATCAGCTCCCACTCGCCATTGCCGCCGCCGCTTCATCTGCCTCGGCACTCTCCGCCGTCCCCTGCGCCTGACGCCGCGCCTTGGCTCCGGCCTTGAGCTTCTCCCACTTTTCACGGTACTTCTCCAGCGTCCGCGCCATGCTCCTGTTCTCCTTCTCCAGCGCCTCCATGCGCTGTATCGCCATGGCCATCTGCTCCTCCAACTCTTTATTTCGTACTCGCAGTACGGCATCGCCACTCGCCGATACTGGTCCACCAAGTGTAGCAGAGGTAGGCGACCCAGGTCGCCTTAGCCGAATGCTCTCCGCCAGTGCGAGACTCGAGTTCTGCGCGGTAGCCTCAAAGGCGTGTAGGCGTTTGCTCAGCTTGTCAAGCATGTCCTTAAGCCCTTTGTTCTCAAGGTACAGCTCCTCGACGGTGTTGGACAGGTGCTGCTCTGAGCGGGACGGCTTACCACCGACACGGCGCCTCGTGCTGGGGGACATGGGTGCGGAAGGCGTCTCGCGGGCATCGACGAAATCATCGTCGTCGTCGTTGTCGATGAAGCTGTCTCCGCCGTGGAGCGAGGCCTCGAGGCGGCGCTTCTCCTTGTCTGCGAAGTTGAGGATGTTGGCGTACGAGACAGTGTGCCCGCTCGTCGGGACGACGTAAAATGAGTCATTGGGGTTGTTGGCTGATATAGCGCGGAGGGTCGCGCGGGAGTAGATTTTGGATAAGTCCGGCTCGGCGGGAGCTGCAGGGGATTTGAGCCGGTTACGCTTGTTCGGTGATGGCTCCGACGTCTCGGGGGATTCCGGGGTGGAGGGGGTTTCTTCCGTGATCAGAGGCAGACCGGCGAAGGCCAGTGGTGCAGAGAGGCGGTTAATGATACTGCCAAAGGTACTGTAGAAGCGGGAGTATCCATCATCACTGGGCGGCGATGCAGCTTCTTCCGGCTTTTTAGATTCGGCTTCTCTCCGCGAGGATTCGGGGTTGCCTGTTGGCGGTATCCATCCTGGCTTGCCAGATTGGTCGAGGACAGTTTGCATCTTGGCTCTCGATTCGTCTCGTCGTGTCTGAACTTCCATGTTCCCTGGGGCTTGGTCGTTCGTGACACTCGGCGGAATCGGCTGGCCGCGGTTTCTGCTCGATCGGATGCCACGCGCGGAAGCGAGGTTGCTTGCGATCGACGAGGTCATCTCACGGCTGGGGTAACGACGCTGCTGCGAAAGAGACGGTACGGTTTTCGCGGTAGCGGCCGCGCTGCTCGCAGACTGCGCTGAACCTGCCTTCGATCTCGCGTATTCGGGGGAGGATACATCGCTTGCGTCGGAAGCTTGTGATTCTTGCTTCTCGTCGATGACATCGGTGGCCTGGCTCGCGCGGCGGTCGAAAGGTACTTTAAGGAGCTCAGAGAGACGCTGATGGTGCTCCTCAAGAAGTTTGAGTGTGCGAAGTGCTTCAATACTCGTGGTCACGCGAGCAGCGTTGGCGAACTCGCCGGCAGCGAGCGCATGTTCGTTGATGGCGACTGTGGTCTCGGACTGATGCGTTGCGTTGGAGGCGGCTCTGGCGTGATCGTGCGCCTGGCGAAGAACTGTCAGAAGGATGTCCGTACGCGACGTGCCCACGAAGGAATCAATACCTTGATCAGTGACGACTCATCCATGTTTGGAACCGTAGTAGGAGGGCTGTCGATGACGGTTCAGGGGACGATGTCGGACCCCGATAGGCGTGTGGTGTTGTCCCGCAGGCGTGGATGCAGTCCTTCCTTGCGAATCGCGCATCCGCCACACACCAAATTCAAAACGGCGGCACGGAGGCGGAGGGCAGGTTCCGACGTAAAAACGGAGGTGGTTGAACGAAGAGGCCTTGAATGTTCGGTGGTCGGTGTGATTGATGGTTGGTGGACAGTGGTTGGTGGCTGCGATCGCGGAGGGTTCCCCAGAATCGTTAAACGCTCTCCCCTGCTGGCCGGATGACAGGCAGGATGACAGGCAGGTAGGAGCAGCGCAGGACCACGCGGCAAGAATGCTGGGAGGTTGTTGGATGGGCCCTGGGGTAACCTGCAGTGGTTGGAGTACGTAAGCAGCCTCCGTCCTAGCGGTTGTTACCGTCACTCCTTGAGGGAACACCCAACCGACGTCACTAAACAATCATTTCATAGCAAAGCTCTTGGAGTCAATTCCGGCGGGTGATAGGGTTATGATGCAGTCAGGCTGGTGACAGTAACAAAGGCCATTAGACTGAGCACAAGAGGAGCTCTCATATCTCAAACAACAAACATATGCATGTCGATTGTATCAATGGTTGGCCATCCCTAGCAGACAGCAAACCTTCGAAGCCGACACGCCGTGTGTAAGCCGAGGTGTGAGGCAAGACCGCAAGGATGACGGCAAGTGGCAGAACCCAAGACACCACTGTTAACCACCTACCTTCGGTAGAAATGCCCCGAATGACGAACGGAGGGGGGTGCGTGCCAAAGGTTCCCCTCCCCTCAAAACTGGCGCCTCATCCTTCGTGAACTCTCCCTCCCGCAGTGTGGGGCGAGGGAATAGGGTTGTCCGGTCCTATTGTAAACAATGTATCATCGCCCTAGAGACCACTAACCTATCGCTAGCTGTTCCAAGACACCAGTCGCTGACATTGGTATGGATTCACCAAGCCAGCAGCTGATCCGACCGGGAAACCCAAGGCCACGGGGATTCCTGATCGGGCCAGCCATCGAAACTTTGTTACGGAATCCCTAGCTGCAAATCTGTCAGACGTGCATGCACCGCATCGCCAGGAGAGAAAAAAATGGGATGGAAAGGTTGTCGCTTCCCGGCCAGCCGTCGGGGTTGCTGAGTGTTTACTGGTCTTGTGGCCGAACCACGCATGCGGTAACACTCAGGCAACCTGGTTTGGAGAAAGCTGGCTGCTTCCAAGGCACTACTAGTCTTTGAAAAGAAGTGTACCTCATCCTGTTAGAGAAACCATCCATCACAAACTCATTTGGTGTTGATGTATTCGCGATTCGTACCTACCCATGTAACCGAAGACTGGCTGACTGGCTATCTGACTGATTCGTCTTGATGGCGGCCAAGGGGGGGATTTTCAGCCCTTTGCTGTCGCGAGGTGGCGGAATGTTGGAATTGCGCAGCCGCAACAGATCCACCGTCCGGAAATGTGTCGTTCGTGGAACAAAAATAGCAGCATCGTTCTCGAGTCACGGGTGGCGGCGGGCTGGAAACAAGTAATAATGGGACAATATCGGTACTACAACCCTCGTCATGGAGAGTAACGTTTAATTGGCGAGTGCAACAATGTGACTTTTGATCGACCACATCTCTCCGAGGACCTTGTCGTTATGCGAAGAGAAATATTGACTGGCTGGCGTACCATACTTATCCAGGTATCGACCTCATACGACAGACAGTGTTGGTGTTTCCGTTCCACGCGGGGCGGTAGCCCACTAACAAAAATAGGTACTAAAGTACCTGTACCTGCCTCTCCTCCCTTCCCCACCTCATTACCCCCCTTTTAAGCCAAGACTCTTTAGCCAGGCCCAGGCATTTAGCTCGCCCCCCCCCAGAAGGAGAGGATAATAAGAGGGAGAAAAAAAAAGTGACCTTGATGATGACGCTCACCTCACCACAGGAAGAGACGCACGCGGGTTGGCTGAGCTGGACAAGCCAAGGCGGGACCAGCAAGCTGGGCAGTTCGTCACTGACGATATGTGTAGGTGCCTACCTATTTGGTCATAGTTTGCACCTTCCTTCCTAAATTGACGAAAGTGGTCTGGAGCTCTTGCCGATCCGAAATTTCTCTTAGAAGGTCCTCAGTTCCGGGTTGTTGCTGCGACGCATTTGCATCTTTGCACCTTTTTCCGGCATTGCACCACCTCACAAGCACAAAACAACATCGAATAGAGGTTTGCGTTGTACTGCGATACGCCCAAGCAACAGGAGAAGACACGCCGCCCCCCTGCCGTATTGTCCAGAGGACATTACAAAACATTGCTTATCTTACTGATACCTGTCTCTTCGACCTTTAATTTCGATTTCCAAACCCTCGATTCCCTGCACCCGCGGAATATGATTATCGTGCCCACTATTCACATCCAATACGCGTATTCGCTCTGAAAGCTTGAACCAGCCAGCCGATCAGACGGTACGAACACCGCCCGCTCGTAACAAATTACGATTCCCGACCCTTGGAACTGAACTCATGGACGCCGCCAGCGAAAGCGGAGGTGGCCTGAGCAAGCTGTTACCAAAAGCTATCGGGGCCAAACGGCGCCGCAGAAAGCAAGAAGCCCGGGAAGACGACGCCGCAGCAGCAACGGCGGCAATGCTGTTAGGGGTCAAGGGGGAAGATGTCACGGCTCCAGCTGACACGCCCGAACCACTGAGAGGCGACAGCGCCAGTTACATGTCCGCCAGGCGCGACAGCGGCTCCTACGTTCACGACACAGACAGCTTCTCCAACAAGGACAGCTCGACAGGGTTTCCCGACTACGACTACGACCACTACCTTGAGCACGGCCACGAAGCCGTCGACGAAACCAGCACCGAGGCTACCAGTACGGTGACACTCGGCGAATCCGAGGTCGAACAGTAAGTTTCTCCGGTTTCTTGTTCGTCTGTTCCTGTTCCTCCCAAGTTTGCATTTCTTGGCTTGCTTTGGCTTGCCTTGGCTTGCCTTGTTCGATGCCTGCCCCAAAACATACACTCGCATCGCGGATGTCAGCCTCTGCACCTCGGCCCTTTTGCCTGCATGCGTCCAAGCGTCCCTGTTCCGTGCTTATGCGCTCTCACCACATCACCACCTCACATAGCCACGTCTTTGTAGTGGCGCATCACTGAAAATCCGTCACCCGCATCTATATCGAATGGCAAGGCGCGCATCGAACAGCTACGGAACTCGGATCCAATCCATTAGATAGCCTCCCGCCGACGTTGTCCCCTGTTCAAGCACATTGTCATACCTCATCATCAGTGGAAGAGAAGGCGGCAGTAAGACAGAGAAAAACCGCAAGCGGGGATTGGTGTCCTCAGGAGCTGCCATCTTTGGTCTCCTGGCCTCCCCCCATTCCCCGTCTGGGGGTGATTGGGGCTAGCACTAGAGAACGAACTCCTTTCTAGTCTCAGCTCCCCCTCATCCACTCTGCGGCAATCGACGTACGACGGCTGCCGGGGCTCCTTCAGCGCACATTTGGTCTCTGGTCCTGGCTTAGTGTCCCCTGACAGGAGTGTTCCACCCCAAGCGAGTGCGTCGTGGAACAGGGTCGTCCTTGTCTTCATCATCACCTCTCTCCCACTTCGTTTCGTCTACTCTTCATGTAACCTCAACTGGACTGTCTCTAACCTCGCACATTTCTCCCTCTATTTAGATCTTCCTTTCGGCCAAATGCCATTTCTACCCATCCTTCGCAAATAGGTTATTTGACCACTTCTTCCCCAATCGTTCAGGCAACTCATTTGCCTGAACCCCAACCACAGATACTGGACGGCCAACTCCCTGAGATCGCCTCGGCGCGATCCACCGCTAATAACTCAGCCAAGAGGACACAATCGGTCGAGTCAACAAATTCGTCTCTGCGCTCCAAGCGCAGTTTCACGAGCCTTGTTCCGCCCAAGAAAAATATTACGAGGTCGCCCTCCCCTGTTGGTCGTCTCAAGGGTGTTTTTTCAAAGTCCAAGAAGACCCCCAGTGCAGCTACGAGCCCCGAGCGGAGTGTGGGCAGTGACGACACCACCGACGACGGCCGAGACACGCGCAGGACTAGAGACCGAGGCAGAGCTTTTGCGTCTGCCTCCACCTCTGACCTCATCTCCTCGACCGTACTCACAAAGAAGCCGTCTTTAGACAGGCCGTCTACGCCACAGCCGAATACGACAGACGATGTGGGTGCACCCCGCGTAAAGTCGACATCCCATTCCCCCGAGCGACGCCGCTCCAGGGCCTCGACAACCACCACCCGCATCGATACTTCCTTTGTACCTCAAACCCCGCCCAACCCCGACACGAACACACCGGTCATCGTCAATACACCCCCGACGCCGACCGATCACAGCGCACCGTTCAGCCAATCTCCGCCGGGACCACCACCGAAACCCACCGTCGAGGCTCCCACTGCCTCAGGCAACACGAATGGTGGTTCTTTCACGGGTAATATGATTGCTCATCGCAGAGGTAGATCAGGATCCGGCAGTATAGGACCCAGCAAGCTGTCCAATATCACCCTCGCACCTCTGACGCCAACCCCGGAGAACAGCACCCCGAGCAACCCCGGCACTCCATCCGGCGCCGGCTTCTTTTCTTCCGTCTTCTCGGCTGCTCAAAACGCCGCGACCTCACTCTCGAGCACCATCCAGAATACCGGCATTGGGCCACCTCCTTCCAAGAACAAAAACATCGCGAAACCCCCCGAAATTAAGATCGACGGGGAACCCGAAGTCGAGCCCCCACCTCCATCCACGACAGGTTCAACCATGGACAAGGAACCTGCCGTCAAGACCATCGGCTCAGGCGAGCTAAGCCTCAGCCAGCTGGGGATAACGGACACAGGTAGCGCCTCCGGAACTCCCATCACCGCCAAGTTCCCCGAACCGGCCGATGCGCGTGTTAGAAGTGATTCGGCCCCAACTGATGCTGCATACGCGGCTGCCACTCGCGATCTCGGAGTAGACGACGGCAGACAGGTCACCAGACCACAATCGCTGTACGAGCCGGGCAGCGGTGGAGATCGCACCCCTCCTCAAGGCAGCATCCACGAAGATCGAATCTCTGGCGTGCAGCGGAGTGGAAGTATTCGCAGCGCTATTGGACGCCATCGCAAGCGAGGAAGTTCAGCTGTGTCGGGAGGTACGGCTACTACTATTGGCGCTGCCATTGCTGCGGCTAACGCGTCTGTCGCTCATCCTCAAGCAAGCGCGAGCGTGCCGAAGCTTACCGGATTCGCCGTTGCGAGCAAGAAACGCAACCGTGATTTCCATACACTGTTCAAGAGCGTGCCTGACGACGATTACCTCATCGAAGACTATAGCTGTGCGTTGCAGCGAGAAATTTTAGCGCACGGCCGCCTGTATGTATCCGAAGGACACTTATGCTTCAGCAGCAACATTCTCGGGTGGTCGACTACGCTTGTTATGAGCTTTGACGAGATAGTGAGCGTTGAAAAGCGAAGCACGGCCCTGGTCTTCAAGAATGGACTCATGATCTCGACTCTGCATGCCAAGCACATCTTTGCCAGTTTCACGAGTCGAGACTCGACCTACGACCTCATTGTCAACATCTGGAAACTTGGTCATCCTACCCTGCGAAGCTCGCTGAACGGTGTGCAGCTTGAGGGCACGGGTGGTGACAAAACGGAGAAGGTTGATGGCAATGACGCTGTAGTAGCCGAAATTGATGATGGTAGCTTGTCAGGCACCGACGGAGACAGCGAGTCTGGCGATGACGACGACGTCTATGACGAAGACGACGATGCTGATGATCTCCAAGACGTTACGCAACTGTCGGAGGTGAACGCCGAGCCGGAAGGGGGCAAGACTGTGTCTCGCAAGGTCTCTGGTGCAGGTGCCAATAGCGCCGTGGCCGACGTTGTTAAGGACGCTGTTGGTGTCCCCTCCGGCGGCGATGACTTCCCCGGCCCCGCTGCACACGCTCCGACGGACTGCGGTGATGCGGACACTCATTACGAGAGAATTGTTGGAGACGACGTCATTCCAGCGCCTCTGGGCAAGGTTTACAACCTGCTCTTCGGCCCTGCCTCAGTCACTTGGATGACGAAGTGGCTGACTGTCGAGGCGAAATGCACAGAGTTGCAGATGGAAGACAAAAAGGGACTAACCCTCGAGAACAGGTCACGCTACTTCACCTACATCAAGCCCCTTAATGGCGCAATTGGCCCCAAGCAGACCAAGTGTCTTGTGACAGAAACGCTGGACAACCTTGACTTCGAGAAGGCCATCAACTTCAGTATTACCACCCAAACACCTGACGTGCCGAGCGGCAACATCTTCAGCGTAAAGACGAAATACTGTCTGACGTGGGCGGAGAACAACTCGACCAGAGTTCAGTCCAACTGTACCATAGAGTGGACAGGCAAGAGTTGGTTGAAAGGTATGTGCCGAGAACCAAGTCTTGACAGAGGGCCAAACTAACTTGACGAAGGGCCTATCGAAAAAGGTGCGAACGATGGCCAGATCCAGTACTGCAAAGACTTGTTTGCCAGCCTGAAGTCGGCCGTTTCGTCAAAAGCCCGCAGTGGTGGTACGGGTGCTGGTCCAGGCCAGAAGGTCAAGAAGAAGGGCAAGAAGAGCAAGGCAGCGGGCTCATCGACGGACGCTGAGGATGAGCAAGTCAGGCTCAAAAACACCCCCAAGAAGGATTGGGGTCCGTTAGAGCCCGTACGGGGTATTCTGGAGCCGATCCTTGATGTCACCAAACCGCTCATGGCGGGCAACATGATGTATGGTCTGTTGGCTGGCTTGCTCATTGCAACGTGGTTCGGGTTTGGACTTCCAGGCAGGCAGGCATCTGGAGACATGCGTATGTACGGCTACCCGGACCGCCTTGCCGCATATGACGAGATGTGGAGACGTGAGGAGAGTGAGCTCTGGGAGTGGCTTGAAGAAAGAGTCGGTTTGGAGCGACTGCACGAAGGCCAGTTGCCCACTCGCAAGAGGGCAATCGAGCCAAGTACGGTGGAGGAGAGGATCAGAGAAGACCGTATGGGCGAACGGGAGATCGAGGAAGCGATCAGGGTTACGGAGGAGAAGTTGAAGGTGTTGAAAGACGTCATGGATAAGAAGAAGCCCTTGGCCGGTTGAGGAAATACCCCAGGAACGGGATGCGAGAGGAACAAATGCAGCAAGTCAGGTATGACACCACACAACGTGTCTCTTTGTTCTTTTTTTGTTTTATTTCGTTATCGTGTAGCATATTCAGTAGCGATGCCAACGAGCAATCAGGGCTTTGGGTAGATTAAGCATCAGCAAAACCAAATACACTGACGGGTTCTCTTCAAGTCGCCCTGCGCCCACAATAGGACAATAGTCCTAGCCCCTTATTCTTCCTCAAGACTGTTCTGCCTACTCTTTCTGTTCTGCCGCTTTGAAAATTCTAGCAAGCACACCGCAGACCTTCCCCTTCGCCATCGACGACCGCATATTTCCCAACCTCCTTCTCTGCCATCACTTCAAACAGTAAGTACGTTGAAACCACATTCAATGTTGCCCCTTCTGGATAACGCCGATACTTGCACGTTGTATGCGAAGATGGTTGACAAAGAGACCGACACTGCTGTGGGCTAGTCGCTTGGCGACGACATCTACTCTTGCACAGTTGACAAGCTGCGTGAGCTTGGCATCGCTGACCTTGTTTCGTTCCCACACCTCGTTGTGGTCGGCGAAGCCCCTCTCGTTAGGGCGCTACGGGCTGCGCCTTCCCTCGCACCCAGAGCTCTGTACTCGCTATGCCGCCCAGATCACTTGCCGCCACGACGACGTTGAGAGTGTTCACGTTTCCGTCATTCCTAGCTAAGATTCGAGCGACGATCAGAAACAACGACTGCGCGCCTTCGTCTTTTCAGTTAACCAAAACGATATTGCCTTGGCGGATGTCTTGTCACAAGTAAACAGGAACTCTTCGAGAGTCCGTAGACAACAAACCCAGGCTTACAGTCACTCCAGGCAAACGAGGTCATGGGGCTTCGCGGTGTCAAAGCTAGAAGTGCCTCAGGCTCGGCATTCACAGTGGACATTTTGAAAAATCGAGATAAATAGCTCAAGGATATGTTAATTCGCAGTTTCAGGCCATCAGAGCAACTTCTCAACAACCCCAGCAATACCACTTGACCGTCATTGCCGTCCCTGAAATATTCCGCAGTGCTTCCAAGGACCTGACGACTGATGACGATATCCTTGGTCTGGAACATGGTTAAGAGGTGCATTAAAGACCAGCGCACGATAATCCTGGCAGCAATCCCCTGCAATGTCGACATCGCCACACAGGAGGTTCTCACCTTGGTGAATGAAAATGATCGGGAAGGAACTCAGACAGTCAGCGTCCCTATAAAGCCTGACCTCGCCATCGAGCGTGCCACTCATCAGATCGCGTGCAAGCTCGTCGAGGGAAAGCGCCACGAACTGCGTCTTGGCTACTGCGTTGTGAAGAATCAAAGACGACGTAGCACGCGAAGAAGACAATGAGGGCCATGAAGTGCCGTTCCGATTCGAGTTTGAGGTCTCTATCCATGATGGCAATATTAACGTTCCCGATGCTGTAGTAGAATAAGCATCAGCTTTTGGGGTTGTCATTGTGGTTCCCGTCACCTTTGCAACTTACTTGGCCCTGTCCATATAGGATGGCAGATACTTGAAGAGCCAAACTCGATAGCAATCGCAGCATCCGCCGCGGCCAGTTGTTAGCCATGACGAAGATGAGAAGCAGCAGGTATGTATCTATCTTGTGGACCAATGTGTGTCGACATCCTCCAGCTCCGCCCTCTTGAGCAGAGCATTCTCATGCTAGTTGCTGGTTAATTTTTTCTTCTTCTCCATCGTTAGCTCCGGAGACTGAAGGGCTAATAATGACGAGAGAGGCTTGGCATGGAAGTGTTTTATTTGGTTAGGGGTGGAGGAAACAGCCTGCCAGTGAAAGCCTGGTGATGGTCATCAAGTGCCGAACAGTGATCCAAAGGCCAATGCAACTTGTCTTGAGTATTCATAAATATCTACGTGGAATAGTCTCTGGTGGGAATCGAGCTACTGCCAGTGGTGGATGGCTGAATGATTAAGCCACGAACTGCCCTTGGTTGAAAGTATCTGGCCTTAGATCAAACCTCCCAAATTTCACTTCCGTTTTGCAAGATCAAACAAAGAAGAATGCAACAGTATTCTTGCGACACTAGGCTTCGTCAGGATATTGATCAAAAAAATCTGTCCTTCCCTCCAAGAAGGCATCTGCATTCAACCTCACACTTCATCTAACCATTTCAGTCATACTAGTTTCTCTGGAACCTGGCTTGTTCATCGTTAGGGTGAGTACGTCAATGCGAATCTTTTGACTAAGGAAGAATCTTCATTTCAGCCTAAGAAAGAACTCTGCTATACGAACATCCTTCTCTGATCTGCGTCGTCAAAGCCACTCTCACTCCAGGTATCTTCAGTTTGCTTTGTCGATATGTGGTTTGTGTGTCCTAAACGTTTACGGCACCCTCAAGACCATCAACCTGGTTCAGTGAATGCTGAAGATCCTCCATGTGCATCCAATGCTCTTGGACCAAGCGAACTGGCTTGAGCTCTTCTACATCCTCACCAGCGGCAGTGATGATACCCTGGGCAACATTAATGAGCCTTGCGCGACCCCAGTAGGTAACCTTGGACCAGTTCCAGCCGCCGACGCGTTCCTTCTCGTTGGTGTCATAGTGCAAGCCGACCTCAACCTTTGCCTCGTCGAGGGTAAGGTCTCCCTCAATATCAATGGAGGCGTTGGAAAGCTCAGATCCGCGATGGCCCTGCTGGTCGACCCAGAAGAAGCTGGCCACAGGAACGTCGAACTGAGGGTCGATTTTCATGCTAACTTTGAGGAGTACCGGCTGGTCAGAACGGCGGTAGCCAGGAACACTGCCATTCTTGGGGACATTCTGGTTGAGGGTGCCGATGAGAAGAGCGCTCTCGTCGTTGGTGCGCTTAGGGAGCTTAACAGGGGCGACGTTGAGATTGCTAGTGGTCCAGTTTGACTTGAAAATTCTGGTCCAGAACTCTTCGCGGACCTGATCGAGGGTAGGGGGGTCGATAGGGTGGTTGCGCTGAATGAGGACAGTGAGGAGGTCGTCGCACATGCGCTTCTGGTCCTCTGTGAGCTGGCTGAGACGTGAAATGACTGCCATGATTTCTTGTTGGTGTTCGATTATTTGTGAACTGTTAGAAATAGTTATTTAGACAAGGCCGCTAGAAATCATATGTTATGGGGTTCACAAACCAACAAGAATGAGGTCGGAGCATAGGTTGCGGAGCTTTGTTGTGAAGACAAGATTCGCGAGGATGAATTCTGAGAGCAATAATCTTTGAGAGCCTGTAGAAGAACCGGAATCAAGAAAGTGCGAGGTTGTGATGAATACGGGATCCAAGAGAGCTCTCGTGTCGTGATTGATGGAAAGCCAAGGAATGGTTGTGAGTGGCCTGTAAGGTGAAGCAGATGTGAACGTGACTTTGGCCGTATTCAGAAATATTTATCAACCACTCAAAGTGCTCTTAGCTGCTAAAAGAAAGGAAACAGCCCTGACTTTTCACAAGGGCGCGATTTCCAAAACGGAGAGGTTATTCTGCAGCTAATTGCCATACTACCTGTACAATCCTCAGTCAGGCCTGAACATACAGTCGTTTCCTCTTACTTGAGACATATTGTTGGCTCGAACATAAAGAGGAACAGAAACTAGCGCAACACTTTTTTTCTCCAAGATTATTCTCTATTCCTGACACATAGTGTTTGTCTACTTCTCCACGTACTTGAGGCAAAGCACGTCTTCATGAGTTATCCCACAGTTCATATAGACAAACGAAATCAACCTAGACCCATCTGCGGCCCCTGGGAAACTATGTGTACACAATTAGTGGCTGGGTGTTTGGTTTCTAAGGAAGTTAATTTGAAAATTACCTCCCATTATTCAAAAAGCAAGCCCGGGTCATCGTTAGTTCATCGATATATTCTATAAGCCCCCGAACAACAAGATTGACGACCTCGGCCCTATGGCTTGACCGGGTGACAGTACGTTTCAAATACACATAGTGGCATTCACTATTACGCGGTCCTAGCTACACAGCCTATTCTTATCCTTCTTGCCGTGATAGCTGTAAATGCTGAGATGTATAGCCGCGAGAAAGTCCGACTCGACATCCTCGGCCCCAGGTAGCTAAGTTCGATGTTCTTGCTGTATCAGGCAGTGGTCTGTCGTAGAGTTGTTGTCTCGATTCGTATCACCTTTATTCCCTTGAAACTCTCATGGCCTTTGTCGGCCTACATTACGCCCAGGTCATCTGGGTTAGCAAGAAGGGAGTACAATTGACTTGACCCCCAAAAATTCGCCAATCACTCGATTTTCTGCGTCTGACTTCGCCTGCTCATGTGTTACATCCCTAGTGAATGGAGTAATCGGCAAGACTTGATATGAAGGAAGTGAAGTTACTTCGGAAAACGAATAACGCTCCAAGTCTCATGGGGCTCTTCTCTTCCTCTTTTTATAAACCAAGCAACAGCATCAACGGAGTCTCTGTCCAGTCTAAGGAAAAGAAAAGGTTTGAGGGATGTAGGAATAAGGAATTCTGACTTTCGTTTACCCTTCTGTTCTTCAACACCCGGCTAGGCCATGTAACTTTGACGTATGAAACTCAAGGAATAATTTAGGATTAAGTCGGCTACTCTACTGAGAAATACATTATGGAGCGGCAATGGCATGAAGAGCCGCAACTGGAACCATCATTTTGTCATCCTAAGCATACCCAACACACTGTGTCAAGGGGCTCTGGGACCTCGTGTTTGAGGGTGGCTGGGCGTCCATAAGACCCATGAACGACTCAGCAGAGCTCGCTCGTAGGAGCGATGCTGTGCTATGGCGCGGTGTGTTTGGGTTCAGTGTCTACCGCTTGTTGCAGTCAGTTTGGTGTTGCCATAACTCACGTGTATACCCATGAATGATAATACTTGACCAGCACAACCCCGTCTTCCTGCTTTACCTATACCCATCCCCCCCAGCTCGCCTTACTGATGGGTCAGTCTACATTAAAGTTGACCGTGCCACGTACCGCCTCAGGACGCGCCTTGACTTCTACGACGCCTGAGGACAGAAAGCTTCTAGTTACTTGTGCACTAAACTCCTATGTCACAGCATGATAACCTTCGACTGCTTGCAAGTTCGACCAGCACGAGAGGTAGCGTCTCAGGCATACACTGCGAACGGGGCTATCCTTAAAGTCTGACTCAAAACGGAAGGACTATCTTGGCGAGAAACTACAATAAAACTACAAGGGAATTCAGGAGTCGCTAGGAACAAGATGGAGACGGTGCTAACTAAACGGCTCGGTGGGTATGTGTCTGCTCGTAAAGCCAGCAAAGAAAGAGGTGATTAGGGTTTGAGAAGCGAAGTATGGCACAGCTTTCAATGGCTAATACCGATGGCAACAAGGTTGAAGTTGCGTCTACGCAAGAGGGAACAAATCACGATAAAGATTTGATGGAGCTTAATGAGCTAATGATAGTAAAATGATGGTTTGACGATAAAGCTCCAATAGAGTGCTCGTTGTACGAACAAACAAGCACACTTGCAGACTCTCTGACGGCGGATAGGAGAATCGTAAATGGTTGTTGATAGTTGTCGACTCCCAAGCTTGTTCTAGAACGATGTTGCTGGTATATTACTGCCGTTGTCTCTGGTTGAGCATGAGCGTGTGGCTCGAGGTTATTGCTTGTATACATTCCAATTCTTTTCCATTTGGGAGTATATGCATGCCCCTACTTTCTAGCTGTTTTTTCGTGCTACAAACAAGTTTCGAACGTTTCTTTTCTTAATAGCCAAACCCCTTATCTATGAATTGTCACGACGGTCCCGGCGATCCTACGACCTAAAAGGAGGATAGCAATGCTCTTGATCTAGAGTTACTGTTAGCATATGGGTGATGCGGCCAGAGGCGGTAGGTCACGTGACACACCGCCTACCGGCAGAATCCCCTACCCTTGCCCATACGCAAGGGTACTACTACACTTGTACGCCTACTTTACCTTGTTAACTAGTTAACTATTAATAACTATAAATTTAACTACCTTTTCTTAACCTTTATAATATTATAAGATATAGGATCTTATTAATTAACTAGTAAAAACTAATATTAATTAATAGTTAATTATTACTAATAACTAGTAATTAATAAGGCTTACTATTATAAAAGTTTACTTAGCCTACTATAACCTAGTAGACTACTAACTAAGTTAAGTACTGTTAAGGCTACTTTACCTCTATAAGAAACACTATAGTGTCTATTATACTATTAGAACCTCTTTAATAAGTAAGAATCTTTTTTATACTAACTATAGCGCTATTAAGAAAAGACACTTAAGTAGTAATAATTACTACCTTATTTAACTTTTTCTTTTATCTTTATATTTACCTCTTTAGAAAACTATCCTTATTTACTTTATATATATAAAACTAACCTAGTACTATCTAGACTTATAAGTATAAATTATATTAAGAAGAAAACTTATTACTTAATTACTACTATAAAAGTTATATAGTAATTATTACTAATTAACTTTAATAATTAACCTTATAATAAGTTAATCTAGTAGTACCTTACACCCTAAGGTGCCTACTTTTATAGTAAAATATATTAACTATAAGAAGTATAGCTAAGAAATCCTTCTTAATAAGTAAGACCCTCTTACTATTTACTTTTACTTTACTTATTATATAGCTAAATAGGCTAAATATACCCTTATAGGTTATAAGCTCTAGAAGGACTTTTAATATTACTTTAATAAATAAGATAAAGCCTTCTTTAGTACTACTAGTAAAGTACTACTGTTAATTTTTTATAACTTCCTTTTTAACTAAGGCGTCTTTATACCTAAAGACTATTAATAAATTACCTTATACTTTATTACTATTATTAATAATAATAAGTTTTATATTTAGATAAATAAAGAAGTTAAGAAAGTATAGTATAAGTTAGTAATATTTAATAGGCTTATTAAAATATATAATAGCTTCTTAAATAATATTTAATATAGTTATATTAGCCTAGAGTAGTATAAGTAAAAACAGTAATAGTAACTTATTACCTATATAACTAAATAAAGCCTAGTAATATTTATAAACCTTAAGTAATAACTAGTAATAATATAGGCCTAACTTAATAAATAAGTATAAAAGTTATATTAGTAAAAGTAGTAAACCTTAGCTTTACTATAGTAGACTTAATCTATATAAGATTTACTACTTCCCCTATATAACTTAATATAAGGACTATTTTAATAAAGTAATAGTCTATTATCTTTCTCTACTTATTATTAATTATAGTAAGAACCTTTTACTTACTTATATACTAATCCTATAGAACCTTAAGGCATAGGATAGCTACTACTAATTAAGAATAATACTATTAGTAACTATTCTTCTCTTTAGTAATTAGGCACTTTAACTAAGATTATTACTAATAAATCTAAGTATACTAGTAAAATATATAATATACTTAATATTAAGTTAAACTTATTCTATAATAACTATAGTAAAATTAGTATTAAGAGACACTAAATAGTATTAGCTTTCTTATTAATACTTAAAGGTAAGGCTTTTATTTTTTATTTTACCTAAATTAGTAGTAGGAATATCTAAGACCTTACTACTATAGTTACCTAAATAAAAGCTTACTTTAAGAGCCCTAAAGCTATTTAGATATACTTTACTAAGTAGTAAAATACTACCTTTTACTATATTATATATAATAACCCTAAGAAGAGTAAGCTTAAGGTGCTTAAGAAACTTATTAATAAACTTAACCTTATCTAGTAAGTATTACCTAATAGCTACTATAATAATAAAGTCCTTTAATCTTAGCTATTAAATACTTACTCTAGAGTTTATAAGTATAAATTATACTTATTTAATCTAGTGCCTATATTAAAAGAAGTCTATAACTAACTATAGTTATTAGTAAGTACTATAATAAAATATAATAATAAGGTTAGCTAGTACTAGGTAGACCTTAATAATTAATACTAGGTTAACTATACTTACTATAGCTAAGGGTATAACTAGTAGTTTAGTAATAACTATAGTAATAGTAACTATTATAGTAATAATAATAATAACTATAATACTAAGAAGTACTATATCTA